CTCTGGGACTGTTTAGCTATGTGGAGGTTGGATGAGATGTATACTTGTTAGGGTTACGGTTATACAACTGGTCAGGGTCCGGTTACACAACTGGTCGAGCTTCGGTTACACAACTGGTCGGGCTCCGGTTAAATAACTGGTCGGGCTCCGGGGGTGTCACTTGAGCTTCGGGTTGTGCATAGTTGGGCTTTGGTTCATGTGTAGCGAGTAGATTATCCCAATAATATACTCGCTCCAAATGCATTGTTAATATTCCTGTCAACCTTTGGAGATGAATGAGGTGAGGCGTTGCCCGGGCAACACGGTGAGGTGTTGCCCGAGCATATAAGCAGCAGAATAGCAAACATTAACCAGAGTCTACTTTCAAGTGTGGTCTAGAGCAGACACTTGCGAGATACTGTACCGACGCTCAGTGCGCTCAACTCACACCAAAGTATCACCTGTGTACTTCTGTATATTTGACCAAATATATATATAGTATCTTAGTGTCTGTGTTTATTTGTCACCATACTTTACGTAACAATAGAACCGTTACATTGGTGACCCCAAAGAGTTTCGACGATACCCAGCCACGATGAACTACAACATGGACTCTCACTGGACCTCCACTGCTGCTGCTTGCTGTGGACCGCAGCCACCTGTCATGGAACGTTGCCAACACCCTTGCCACAGCTATGATTTTCATCGCGATCGTCTCTGCATTTTCATCTGGTCAGCGATGGCCAACGATGGTCAGCTTTCAGCCTCTGATTCTGCTACTGAGTTCAATAGGTTCTTCTCTTCTATTGGTTCATCCCTTGCAAATGATATTCCATCTTCCAGTACAGACATTAATGACTATCTTTCAGGTAACTATCCACAGTCTCTGTACCTAAAGCCTATTAATTCCACTGACGTCAATGAGATAATCCTTTCCCTTAAAACCAAGTCTGGTGCCCTTGAGGAGATACCAACTTTAATTTACAAAAAAGCCTCCAGATCTTTAGCCCCTGCTATTGCTTTGCTCTTCAACAAGTCACTTGAACTCCAAACCTTCCCAGATATTCTAAAAAAAGCGAGAGTAACGCCTGTCCACAAATGTGGTAATCTCACAGATGTTAACAACTACAGACCTATATCTATCCTGCCAAACTTGTCAAAAATTTTTGAAAAACTAATCTATAAGCAGCTTTACTCATATCTAGCCAAACTCAATATACTTAGCCCTTGCCAATATGGCTTCAGACCCAAAAAAAGCACTAACGATGCACTTATTAGTATGCTTATAACTCGATTCATACAGCTCTTGATAAAAATGAGTTCTCTGTTGGGTTGTTTGTGGACCTGCGTAAAGCTTTTGACACTGTCAACCACCAAAACCTTCTTCTTAAATTACATCATTATGGAGTCAAAGGACACTCCCTACAATACCTCAAATCCTACCTTACTGACAGGCTCCAATATGTTTCTGTGAATAATACAATTTCTCCCACCCTACCCATCAACATTGGTGTTCCCCAGGACAGCATACTTGGCCCTCTCCTCTTTCTCATCTACATTAATGACCTTCCAAATGCCTCCCAACACCTCAAACCAATTCTATTTGCTGACGACACAACCTTCATTTACTCCAGTCCTGATCCCCTTGCTCTAAATGCCACAGTAAATACTGAGCTAAATAAAGTCCATCTGTGGCTAACTGCCAACAAACTCACCCTTAACATTGACAAAATCTTTTATATTCTGTTTGGCAATAAATCCTCTAATCAAATAAATCTCAAAATAAACAATACCCAAATTTGTAACAAATTAGATGGCAAATTCCTTGGCATTCTCATTGACCACAAGCTTAATTTCCAGGGACACATTCTAAACATATCAAAAAAAGTTTCAAAAACTGTGGGCATTCTTTCTTAGATCAGATATTATGTACCACGCCCTGCCCTGGTGACTCTCTATTACTCCCTTATCTATCCATATCTCAACTATGGTATTTGTGCTTGGGGCTCTACTACCCAAAATCACTTACGTCCTCTAATTACTCAACACAAAGCTGCTATTAGGACAATATCCAATTCTGGCCCCAGACATCACTCGGTACCCCTACTTAAATCTCTGAATATGTTAGACATTAAGTCACTGCACATTCTCTCATGTGTATTATACATATATAAAACGCTAAACTATAATGCCAATCCTGATCTCAAAAGCTTCATAGAAGGTTGTATCAGAACCCATGAGCATCACACCAGAAATAAATACAGTTTTGATATTCCTAGAGTACGACTTAATCAAACTAGAAATGCTCTACAAATCAAGGGGCCCAGAATGTGGAATGACCTTCCCAACCATGTTAAAGACTGTACCTCTCTCAACCAGTTTAAGTTAAAAGCGAAGCTATACCTAATAAATTCCCTGTAACCTACCTTACCCTTCTATTGTCAACCAATGTCTGTTTTTTTCTTTAAAGAGTGCTGTTTGTCGACATAATTGTATTTGTGCTGCTTTTTCATCTGTTTTCATTCTACTCATTATGCTCAATTAGTATTAAGCTTGTCATTTAAGTTTATCATGCCCGAAACGCTTTGCGTAATAGTGGCTTTAGGCATTGTATGTACTAGCTATACCTATAAGTTAAACAATCCTTGCAAATATTTATTGTATGTATGTACCTTACCTAAATAAAATTGTATTGTATTGTGTATCTACTATGGCTTGCTGCTCCACGATCACTACTCTGGCAGCTTCATCAGTAACTACATAATGTGTGATCTACAGCCTGTCCTGCCGACTCTTCGTCGCCTCCAGGACAATTCAGCTCTAGCAGTGATTACCTCGTTGTCCTAACTACGTGCCTACATTGCCTCCTAATGTCCTGGTGCCCGAGCCCATCCGCCCCGGATCTAAATGCTCCACCAGCGACCCAAGGACGCAGCAATTATGCACATTCTTCTCTCCTGCTACACCGAGCTTGTCCACACACTGCCTACATCTTTTGGTACCAGACTACAATTTCCACAGTCAACAATAATGTAGTACTCGGCGTGTACAGTCCTAATCAACCCAAGACGCTACAGCTTCGACACAGAGCAGACAGCAGACTACGACCGCATCGAGCCGCCACACTCTCGCTCCCCGAGTTTAGACACTCACAATTCTCAATCGAGCCGCCACGCTCTCCCACATAGAGCTCCACGACTCCGGCCTCGCTCAGCCCTCTGCTCTGCTCCAGGCTTCGTCTCAACGTCTGCGACACTGCTAAATCCAGAGACACATCCGCCGACTACGCAGTTCACTTTTCGACCACAGTTACCAGCAGCACCGCCACCTACGACAACGGACGATCCTGTACGACCTCCCACCCTACAACCCCAGTTACCAACCGCACCACAAACGACGGACGATCCTATGCGACCTCCCACCCTACGACCCCAGTTAGATGACATCAGCGAAGAGGAGGAAGTTAACTTTGATGGTTATGTAACGCGAGCAGGGCGTACAATTCACCGACCAGCTAAGTTCCTTGATCAAGTATTTTTCCTTTCATCCCCTGGGAGGGGGAGTTCTGTAGCGAGTAGATTATCCCAATAATATACTCGCTCCAAATGCATTGTTAATATTCCTGTCAACCTTTGGAGATGAATGAGGTGAGGCGTTGCCCGGGCAACACGGTGAGGTGTTGCCCGAGCATATAAGCAGCAGAATAGCAAACATTAACCAGAGTCTACTTTCAAGTGTGGTCTAGAGCAGACACTTGCGAGATACTGTACCGACGCTCAGTGTGCTCAACTCACACCAAAGTATCACCTGTGTACTCCTGTATATTCGACCAAATATATATATAGTATCTTAGTGTCTGTGTTTGTCACCATACTTTACGTAACAATAGAACCGTTACACATGCATGGTTGTGATCCAGAGGTTGTTTGGTTCGTTCATGCTAGGCTTGCGGTAACACAACTGGTCGGGGTCCGGTTACACAATTGTTCAGGCTCCGGTTACACAACTGGTCGGGCTCCGGTTAAATAACTGGTCGGGCTCCGGTTACACAACTGGTCGGGCTCCAGTTAAATAACTGGTCGGGCTCCGGGGGTGTCACCTGGGCTTTGGGTTGTGCATGGTCGGGCCTCGGTTCGTGCATGGTTGTGATCGAGGTTGTTTGCTTGGTTCATTCATGCTAGGCTTGAGGTCAGACAACTGGTTGGGCTCCGGTTACACAACTTGTCGGGTTCCGATTAAATAACTCCAGGGGTGTGACTTGTTGGGCTTTGGGTTGTGCAAGAGTGTGCTCAGGTTCGTACGTGGTTGTGCTTCGGTTCATACATGGTTGTGCTCCATTGGTTGTTTGTGTACTAGTGCTCCACATTTGTTTGCTAGGGCTCCATTTATATGTTTGCTAGAAATTTGGGTTTCTTTTTTTTGTATATAGTTCAATTGTTTGCTATGGCTCCATAGTTGGTATCTAAGGCAAGTGGAGGATTTTCGGTAGCGCTAAGGAGATTTTTGTTTGGTCGAGCTAGGAATGGAGTTTGGTTGTACTTTGGGACTGTTTAGCTTGGTGGGGGTTGGACGAGATGTATACTTGATAGGCTTATGGTTGCACAACTGGTCGGGGCCTGGTTACACAACTGGTCAGGCTCCGGTTAAATAACTGGTCAGGCTCCGGTTAAATAACTGGTCAGGCTTCGGTTCGTGCATGGTTGTGTTTCAGCGGTTATTTGTGTACTAGTGCTCCAGGTTTGTTTGCTAAGGCTCTATGTTTATATGTTTGCTAGAAATCCGGGTTTCTTTTTTTTGTATATAGTTCCATTACACAACGGCTGTGAACGCTAACTAGCGCACAAGAATCATAGCGCCCAAAATACTAAAACGCAAAAGACACGTGAGGACAAGCGTGTTGCTTCTGACGTCATTTTTGTTATTTAACTATAATATATATTGTTATATACAAGTATAACTATCATATAATAAATATAATAATAATTTACCCCAAACCAGCCAGGCTTTGTGCGTTCGATCATGTTCGTGGGCATTGTGTTGTTTACATTGACGCGTTGGTCTCGAACTCTTAAATTAAGAGTGCAGTCGTTGGGAGGAAAAGCCCTCATGCAAACTGCACGTATCCCGAAGAAGAACTCTAGATTTTTGATATAAGTAAATCAACCCATACCCGAGGCTGATCCAACACACACCCTGGCCACATCTACAGACAATGACAACCGCCCTAACATAGCTACCATTGCTATATACAAATCGTTTGAATTGATGGTGGGACAAACTTCTAAATGACTCCTTAGCACGCCTTACCCCATGCTAACTTGCCACAAACCTCAACTACGGACACCAAGAGTAAGAAACCTCCCAACTGTACAAACCTCCCAGCTGTATAAACCTCCCAGCTGTACAAACCTCCCAGCTGTACAAACCTCCCAGCTGTACAAACCTCCCAGCTGTACAAACCTGCCACCTGTACAAACCTCCCAGCGACCTGGCACTTTGACTGAAACACCACATAAACCACTCTCCCACAACACAACCTCCAAGCACTCCCAGATATTCAACATGGTGTACTACTGGTACGTCAAAGAAGACCGATGTGATTAAATCCCAGAGGTAAAAATCCTAAGTACACAACATAACATAACCCATCTTCAACTAACCTACCCCCATCCTAACCTAACCTTATCCACATTAACCCCATGTTACTTAATATACTCTAACTTACTATGTCCTTACCTTACCTTATGTCATAATATTAATTCCACTGATGTCAATGAGATAATCCTTTCCCTTAAAACCAAGTCTGGTGCCCTTGAGGAGATACCAACTTTAATTTACAAAAAAGCCTCCAGATCTTTAGCCCCTGCTATTGCTTTGCTCTTCAACAAGTCACTTGAACTCTAAACCTTTCCAGATATTCTAAAAAAAGCGAGAGTAACGCCTGTCCACAAATGTGGTGATCTCACAGATGTTAACAACTACAGACCTATATCAATCCTGCCAAACTTGTCAACAATTTTTGAAAAACTAATCTATAAGCAGCTTTACTCATATCTAGCCAAACTCAATATACTTAGCCCTTGCCAATATGGCTTCAGGCCCAAAAAAAGCACTAACGATGCACTTATTAGTATGCTTAACTCGATTCATACAGCTCTTGATAAAAATGAGTTCCCTGTTGGGTTATCTGTGGACCTGCGTAAAGCTTTTGATACTGTCAACCACCAAAACCTTCTTCTTAAATTACATCATTATGGAGTCAGAGGACACTCCCTACAATACCTCAAATCCTACCTTAATGACAGGCTCCAATATGTTTCTGTGAATAATACAATTTCTCCCACCCTACCCATCAACATTGGTGTTCCCCAGGGCAGCATACTTGGCCCTCTCCTCTTTCTCATCTACATTAATGACCTTCCAAATGCCTCCCAACACCTCAAACCAATTCTATTTGCTGACGACACAACCTTCATTTTCTCCAGTCCTGATCCCCTTGCTCTAAATGCCACAGTAAATACTGAGCTAAATAAAGTCCATCTGTGGCTAACTGCCAACAAACTCACCCTTAACATTGACAAAACTTTCTATATTCTGTTTGGCAATAAATCCTCTAATCAAATAAATCTCAAAATAAACAATACCCAAATTTGTAACAAATTAGATGGCAAATTCCTTGGCATTCTCATTGACCACAAGCTGAATTTCCAGGGACACATTCTAAACATATCAAAAAAAGTTTCAAAAACTGTGGGCATTCTTTCTAAGATCAGATATTATGTACCACGCCCTGCCCTGGTGACACTCTATTACTCCCTTATCTATCCATATCTCAACTATGGTATTTGTGCTTGGGGCTCTACTACCCAAAATCACTTACGTCCTCTAATTTCTCAACACAAAGCTGCTATTAGGACAATATCCAACTCTGGCCCCAGACATCACTCGGTACCCCTACTCAAATCTCTGAATATGTTAGACATTAAGTCACTGCACATTCTCTCATGTGTATTATACATATATAAAACGCTAAACTATAATGCCAATCCTGATCTCAAAAGCTTCATAGAAGGTTGTAACAGAACCCATGAGCACCACACCAGAAATAAATACAGTTTTGATATTCCTAGAGTACGACTTAATCAAACTAGAAATGCTCTACAAATCAAGGGGCCCAGAATGTGGAATGACCTTCCCAACCATGTTAAAGACTGTACCTCTCTCAACCAGTTTAAGTTAAAAACGAAGCTATACCTAATAAATTCCCTGTAACCTACCTTACCCTTCTATTGTCAACCAATGTCTGTTTTTCTTTAAAGAGCGCTGTTTGTCGACATAATTGTATTTGTGCTGCTTTTTCATTTCTTGTTTTCATTCTACTCATAATGCTCAATTAGTATTAAGCTTGTCATTTAAGTTTATCATGCCCGAAACGCTTTGCGTAATAGTGACTTTAGGCATTGTATGTACTAACTCTACCTATAAGTCGACCATTCTTTGTAAAAATTTATTGTATGTATGTACCTTACCTAAATAAACATTTTAATTTTTTTTTTTTTTTTTAACTCTAGATTACGTCTATCACATCTCTCAACTTCATTTAATAACCATATGCCCGCTAAGTGAATGATTTTAGCTGTTAATAGCATTATATTGTGGTTGTAATCGTGACCAATAATTTGTATACTAAACGTACAAATTTTGTGTCCAAAATAGTAAAAAAAAAAAAAAATTGTGCGCTGTTGTACCAGACTTATATGTGACGTAATTCATCTGCCAGTTCCTTAACAACTTTGGATTGAATTCCAGCTACATCTGGGGTTTCTGAGTCCTTCAACTTGTCAATAATTTTCCCGATTATATTATATGTTATGGGGATTTCCCTTAATTCATTCTCTTCACCTGCATGTGATTGTGTTGTACTTCTTCTATTTAGCCATATCTAAATGTTTTTGTATTGCTTTTAGGATTGTATAATATTATATTATTTAGTTAAATAATCCTGTATACAGTAATGCTTACTGTATTGTAAGGGCTCCATGAGCCTGCATTGTAGGTCTTAATTAATCAAAAGATACCAGTGCTCTGCCTAGGGCCATGGGCCTGTGTTCCATAGTGAACCTAGCTAGTATTCCTGAGTGCAAGACAGCAAGTGTAACTGGTATTCCTGAGTGCAAGACAGCAAGTGTAACTGGTATTCCTGAGTGCAAGACAGCAAGTGTAACTGGTATTCCTGAGTGCAAGACAGCAAGTGTAACTGGTATTCCTGAGTGCAAGACAGCAAGTGTAACTGGTATTCCTGAGTGCAAGACAGCAAGTGTAACTGGTATTCCTGAGTGCAAGACAGCAAGTGTAACTGGTATTCCTGAGTGCAAGACAGCAAGTGTAACTGGTATTCCTGAGTGCAAGACAGCAAGTGTAACTGGTATTCCTGAGTGCAAGACAGCAAGTGTAACTGGTATTCCGGAATAGAGTACAAGCCAACATTTTTGGAGTGTTGTTGTAGGGTGTAGGCTCATGGTATTCAGTTTGTACTTGCTAGTGCTTGTTGTTACTTTGCTTAACATAGAGCCTATTAGTCTAACGTAACATGTTGACAATTATTATTTTTTTCCCCCCTCAGGAATGGGACAATCAACCTTTGTGGTAATGTGGACATCCTTCATGAAAAATTTGATCTGCTGCTTATAACTTTTTATTAAGCTATCATGGATTCCTTCGTATGTGGAACATGCAAGGGCACGTTTCACAGACTTGAAGAATTTACCAAACACAAGCAGAGTCATGGTAAGAGGATTGTAAAACTGTGTACACCAGCTGTATATTAGTTAGTCTTTCATCCTCAGAGATGTAATTTTATTGTATACTAAACAGTATACTGTAATTACACACATGTACAGAGCCTTCAGTATTGTATGCACAGTATTTTGGCTAACGCTACAGGTACTTTACACTAGAGTGGATGTTGTTGAAAATATTTTGGTAATTTAAAGTATAAACCTCATTTTCTAGAATTTAGTAATACTGTACAATAATTTGAAATATGTCCTATAACACAGTACAGTACCAAAATAGTTAGTTTTCTGATATGTGGATTTCGTCATCATATCTTCAGCCACATTACTATGACTAATCGTCTGCATACAGCACTGTATTTAATTTAGTTGAAAATTTTATATACGTATATTGTATATCAAGTTATCCCTAAAATTATACATGTTATTTTAATTTGTATGTTTTTCCTTGTGTGTAAGAGTTTCATCATTTTCAGGCTGTCAAAATGTGCTTAGAAGAGCAGTATGCCAGCAGGACACACAGACAGTACTAGGGGCAGAAACTTCTATTTGTGAAGGCAGGCTGCCAATATTCTCTCCATCTTCACAATATGACAATATATCAACCATATCAACAGCATCTGTTGTATCCGTGTCTTCATTTTCAATTGCTCCAAGCTGTGACACCAGTTCTTCTGTCCCTTTTAGCAATACTCGAGTAAATTCCCCAGCATCAGTATTATTCAACATGTATCTAGCCAATTCTTCACAAATTGGAGCATCAGCCATTAATGTGGTAGATCCAAATAGCTCCATACCAGAGGTACTAGGAAGAACAAAACAAGTCCCAGATACTAGTACTTCTAATTCCTCATATTCTTCGGCTTATACTTCAGGATCACACACGTCCTCAACACACACTATAGCACCTTTAGAAATGTACCACCAAGATGGGAATAGCAGCACAAAATTAACAGAATCAAATTGTACTAGAAAGGTGTCCATCCCTGACATTGACTCCTTACAGTCTTTTGATTCTCTGGTTTCAGTTGCACAGATTTCTAAAAAAAATCCAAAAGAACATAGTTTTGGTAATGATAAAGTGCAACAGAACATGGCTGATAATGACATGAAGGATGTAATTTTTATTGAAATATCGGAGACCATAGAAAAAAATTGTAAATCGAATACAAAAGTTAATGTGCCTTATGTTGAATTACCAGCACATTCAGTTACTAGAAGTGCAAAAGGAGCTGACATTCTTTTAGATCCTGAGCATAAGATAGCAAGGGAAACAACACCCAGGTTATACTCTAATGAAAGGGAAGTAACAAGCTTGATTTGTGAGTTAAATGGCCAAGATTTTACCGAGACTCAGGATTGCCTTCCAGAATATTACGCAAACTCTTCTATGACTACTACTTCGAATCTTTCAGTTATAATAGATGGTATCACAGCGCAGCCTATGGAAACAAGCATACCTGTTAATTATATACAAAGTGGCATTGAAGACAATGCTAGAAATGGAAAATTAATGGGTAATGTTGATAGCAATTATATTCGTGTCTGTAATTCTGAAGGACGTTTATCAAGTACAAATTCTACAAATAGTGTGGACAATTTATTGTGTGAAAATTCTGATCAGTATACTAATATAGAAAACATTGCCAATAACACTGTAAACATTACTAGTAACTTAAATGCTGAGAAAACTAAATTAAGTCAAGGAAGCAAAGTTCTGAAAGCTGTGTCTTCTTCTAGTGAATCAAATTTTGAGCGTAGATCTTTAAGTATTTCTACACAAAATAATTTTGATAAATCGACAAATGGCTGTGTATTAGTTGACGATGAAACAAGAGTAATATCGAACAATGATGGAATTTTAACAAATACTAGTAATACCATAACTACTAGTTCTACTGATGTTAGGGATACAGTCACAATAAGGTCTAAGAATAAAAATATTGCAAACATTTTTGAGTCTTTAGATTCTATCAATGGTAATAGTTCAGGAGTGGGTACTGTGATGGCCGCTGGAGCTAACGATGGCACTTTTATTGTGGGTAGTAACAAGACAGTATGTGCAGCCAACACTGTGGCTGATGTTATGTTTGATGGCGAGACAGCTATGGAAATTGTGCCTCGGATTATGACCCAAGCAGACCACCAAGCTGCACTATACAGTAATGGAGGGGATATTGATTCTGGTAATGGTACAACAGCAGCAGCAGCGGCAGCAGCAACCATAAATATGACCAAAGTGAGTAACGGTGTTGTATCAGCTAACAGAATTGATCAAAACCCTGATAGTTGGTGTAATACTGGGGGTCACACTAGCACTGCTGTTGGTATTAGTGGGGAGAGTATCTCAACACATGTTGAAGGGACAACCTCAGAGACTGACATTCACAAAATTCAGCAGCCTGTTAGTGAATCAACAATATTAAATGAAGGAATTGATTTTGTAAGTAATACTGAAGTTGGATCTGGAAGCAATGATGGTTCAGACTTAACATACGCCTCTGCTCCTGGCTTATATACATTACTGCTAAATGCTGATAATACCTTTACTTTGGTTGCTGGAGGTGAGTAAACTTGTTTTCTTGATACTGTATTTTGTATTCTTTCATGTGTGGATTATATCATTAAACATAGTGTTTTATAGTTAATCCAATTCTGACAAACACAATGTGCCATATATGAAAATCTTTACTCTTTTGTTGCTTTTGCTTGCAGGATATCAAGGATCTTCCGGTATTCAGGGCAGTCAGGTGTTTGTCTGTCGTCAGTGTAAGAAATTTGCCCAGTCACAGGTTGAAATCTTAAATCACATTTCTACTTGTCATCCTGGCAATTTAGATAATGTCAATCAAAGTGTATGGGAGTTTACATCATTGTCATCATGCAATGAAAGTGCAGATGTGCTAAATGACGCTGATCAACTGTTTCGCCCTCGGCTGACCCTGAGTGTGGAAACAACTTCACAAGGATCGGGTAACTGTCTTGAGGTGGAAGGATGTAATGGTTCACAGATGAATCCTGAAGGTGGTTGTGAGGCGCTAGTTGTGCACAAAAGACCAAATAAGCGAAAGTTGGGTAGACCAAGAAAAAAAGACATGTTGTCTACTCAAGAGCATAATATAGAAGCAACAAAAGAAAATCGATTTAAAATTGAAGGAAATGGCATTGTATGCCTTGATTGTAGAAAAACTTTCTTGAAGCAGCGACAGTTTGACAAACATAGGTGTTGTATGTGGCAGACCAGTCTTGAACAGTTAAGTCATACAAGTGTTGAAAGGTTTGCAGTTCCTCCTCCATCACAAGGTAAAATGAAGGAACCAATACTTGGAGATAGTTATGATGACAGAAATTTTGACTTGCACCAAGGAAATGTAGTTGAAGAAGACATGGAAGAGGAGTGGAAGGGATATAAATATTATACAACAAAAATTAAATCCAAACCCAGTGAAGGCGGTAAAAGGAAGCGAGGAAGACCACCAAAAGTTGACGCGCTGCTCTGCGGTGCCAAGTGAGTACATGTCGGGCTCCTCAGTAACGTATGTTTTGGCTAATATATGGTCATTGTATATTACTTTGTATCTTACAGCATTAATAATTTAGCATTTACAGTACAGTATATTATAATGAAAGTTTATCTTAATTCTTAAAATTGCTAAGTATGTTTTTTTCAAGGGAGAGTATGGACTGTGGAGAATGTAATCTTACAGTTTGGGAGGGCCCCCTCGATAGTTTCTTAAGCTACCCACCAGGAAACTGTTATACTCTTTGTACCATACCAGTCTCTAATGAAGCATGAGCTCCACCTTTGACTTGGACAGGATTCTTGTCCCCTCAATAGAGAAACTGTATTGGAAAGTCACCACATCACTGAAAAACAAAACAAACAAAAAACTGAACAGGAAAGTGCTCCAAAACAAGCAACAGCTTGGACAACATTCGTTACCTTGATTTGAACTATATAAACACTTATTGTCTAGATCCACCTGCTAGTTAATGACACTCTTGCTTCCAGGTGGCAGCCACAGTGACTAGAGAGTTCTGGCCAGCCACCCAAGTAATTCATACACCTGGTACCACACTCTCCAGACAGTAATTTGTTGCTCTTCTGAGCCCAGTACAGACAAGTCTGGGTCTTCCTTTACACTTAATCCAGTGCAGGAGGGCCTGTGGTTCTTCCATTTCTTTTCGCTGCACTTGCTTGTTTTGTGCCTCACTTTTGTGTGTTCTCAGGTTCAGTAATCATTATGACAGCATGTGACCACATGGATCTGGTGGTAAGGCCTTGAAGTTGAGGCCCATTCTTTAATAAGGTGTGGATGGAGAGACAGGTTTTGTGTACAGGTACCTCAGCTTGATGCTTCAGGGCCATATGGGTGGCTTTTTTTCCTGTCTGGTGTGTGGGGAGTTTCAACATTCAGGGTTATGTCATGTAAATGCTGCCAGGGATTTGGCATTTGTGCTCCCTGTTGTTTGCCCCATTCCTGTGGGGGGCAGTGGTGAGATTTTATGCAATCCACTTGGATTGTCAGCTCGCAGTGGCATCTCAGGTTCTTGAGCCCATGTAGTCTCTTCTGTAACCTTGTCCTTTGTTCCATGTTGGTAGGTGTCCCCATGCCTAGCAATGGCCTTTAACTATGGCATTTGGTTTTTTCATGGCGTGACATGTGCCTTGCACTGGCGTCCTGGGGCCAGATTCACAAAAGCACTTACGCAAGCACTTGCGAACCTGTACATCTTGTCTCAATCTTTGGCAGCTTTGTTTACAATTATTAAACAGTTAATGAGCTCTGAAGCACCAGGAGGCTGTTTATAACAATAACAGTTGATTGGCAAGTTTTCATGCTTGTAAACTGTTTCATAAATGTAACCAAAGCCGTCAAAGATTGAGGAAAGATGTACACGTTCGTAAGTACTTGTGTAAATGCTTTCGTGAATCTGGCCCCTGGTATCTGCAGGCTCCTGGTTGGGGGTCTTGTAATCATCTAATTGTGCGTGCAGAGGTTGAGCTTTGGCTCTTTAGTCCTGTATCTCATCCAGCACTCAACTGGTGCACAGATTCCTGAGCCTATTGGGCTCTATCATTTGAAACTGTGTATGGAGTCTGCCTCCACCACATCATAAAAAGTTCATAGTAAATGTCAGATTCCTATACTGTATGTTGTTTTGAGCTATGTGATGTATAGGTATTGAGTATAGGCATTGTATATAGGTATATAGTATAGGTATAGGCATTAATTTTTGCTAATTATGAAAAAAACACCTCATTGGTACTTTTACCTTATTTTACAGATCAAATGAAGATTGCTTTGAACAAAGTCAACAGGAAAGGAATCAGGCTACTGATGCCAACGACAACCCCACAACAGGCGATACAAAGTTTATACAAGTTCCCAAATTAATTCCTAGTGCAAATGCTAATTCTCCTGCATTATCAAGTAATGCAGGAACAGATCAGACAGTGCTACCAAATGCAGGTGGACCACCTTTGCTGCACTCGATTCCTACCTTGCCACTTTTCTCTAATCCTAGACAACAAGAGCGACTTCACAAGTGGATAGCTCAGATTGACTTGAGCTTTGTGGATAGTATTATTGACAGAATTTGCCCAGACAGAGTACCACCTGATAAACGGGGAATGGTGATGTATGCGTGTCGAGAATGTAAGGTTCTGTTTAGGACATTGTTGTCATGCAGAAGGCACTGTGCCAAGCATATGTCCAAAAAAGCATTCAGTTGTCCAGATTGTGACTTTGCAACCACACATGTTGGTGCACTTTATTCCCATTACCGTAATCATACACAAAATCTTTATGCCTGTGATAAATGTGATTTTAGAGCTCGAATTAAAGCCCATTATAGAGATCATTTGGAAACACACAATCCAAGTAGACATATTTGTAAGTTATGCCAAAGGCCATATAGTACTTCAAATTCTCTTAAAAGTCACATATATCTTGCCCATCGCAACGAAGAGGGGATGAAGTACATGTTTTGCCTAAGGAGAAAGAACCAGGAACAAAACAAGCAAGGTCTTGTCTATCAGTGCCCAATATGTGGTAAAATATTTGGTAAGCGTTTATTGGCTAGTAAACACATAGCTAATCATGGCTTTAATGATTCTAATCCACCCGTCCAGTATAAGGTTTGTGATATGGAACCCTTACGCTACAGAACACTGAAAAAACATCTGCAGAAACACAAAGTCTTGTACATTTGTTGTGTTTGTGCAGAACCACAGTTCACTGCCAGTTGTCTCCGCAAACACCTCAAAGAAGGTGTTTGTAACGTGTCTCCAGACAATGCCTATAAACAATCTCTTTTGTGCTCATACACTTTTCCAGAAACATTTTCTAGACTTATAGCAAATAAAAGACTTGGAATTGGGTCATTGCTGCAATATTTAAGAAAACATTGGAGCGATTACAAGTTTCCGGATACAAAGGTGCATAGTGGTCTTATTAGACAAATGCAAGATTCTGGTTATAAACAGATTTATGACCTTCTGCAAGATCAGTGTCATATAGAATCAAATGGAAATGGAAATCCAAACCCACTTGACAAGGTAATGAAAATTGTTATTGATACAGGATGTTCCCCAAAAAATGAAGAGGTGAGTTATACTTTATACTGTATTTATTCTTTGTAACTTTGTTGCTACATAGCCTTCCTGGTTTGGTGCCTTCTTTTGATAATTACTTACTTACTTTGTAACTTTGTTAGTGTAAACAGTGTTTCTCATTATTGCATGCTTGTGTAATCAAAGAAATTTGAGGGAAACTTAAAAGCGGGTCTTTCTGCTTTTGAAAGCAAAAATGTACAGTACTTAGCTATAATATTGTTCTTATAAATTAATTGTCATTACCAAAAGTATAATTTAAAAAAAAAAACAGGTGAATTATTGATTTATATCAGGTGATCCTTTTGTATGTGAAGTTAGAGCACATTACATTATTTGTATTGTATATGTATCGTACTATTAGGATATTTATCATAATTTCAAGCAGAAGGATCCAGGCTAACATAAATTCTATTAGAAATTATTATATTTTTTTATCTACATTTTCCTTTTCTCTTTTCTCTTATTGTTTTTTCACTTTTGTGGTGACAAAACTAGTGATCTTATATTCAAATATACAAAATGATACAAACATGAGGGGGCTTCCTGCCCCCAATCAAATTTATTATTATTAAAGGTTATGTAATTTTCCTAGATTCTATACATGATGTGATCTACCACAGCCTGGAGCTAAAGGACAGCACCAGCCATCACACCAGAACCATGCCCAGCAGGATACCTATTGCCACCAACCTGAAAGGGAACTGAAAAGTAAGAGGAGTTGCCACGTAGCACAGTGTCTTGATCCAAAGCTCAAAGAGAACCATCAAGAACTCGCCATGGAAGAAAGTGACCAGAGAGTTGTTGTCATCAGCAATGTTGGTGAAGAACACACTGTGGTGGTTGAAGAAGGACAAATGGTAAGTGATAAGGGAAACATTAAGAACAGAGAGACAGTTGTCAAGTGGCAACAGAGAATAAATGACAGGGATGGAGAGAGTTGTTATAGCACATGAAGGAAATGGTAGGAGAGGTGACTGGCGAGTTATAGTGATGAGGAAAATGACAGGAGTGGGAATTTTGACAAAGGGTAAAATCATTTCAAGTGTTTGAGGGAAGGTAATTTTGATGATATAATAATTTATTCTGTGTTATAACTAGCCTGCTGATGACAAGATTTGAATTAATCATTTAAATTTTCTTAGGTATTGATGGATGAAGAGAGATTTGTCATAATACATGAAAATATTGAAGGAAAACAACAAGAAGCTAACCAAGTTTCTGGTTGAAGTCTGATATAATGTAGCCAGAGAATTATACAGTAGACCTACTGTAAACCAATAAAACTTAGTATTTTTTATCAACTTTTGTGACCCTTACTTTGCACATTAGCACCTTTTTATTATCTACTGGAATACCTTAGTTTTCACATTAATACTTTTTCTGGTAGGGCCCAGTCAGTGTTTCCTGGAGCTGCACTCTGGTATAAATGTCATGCCTACGGTACCACACCACAGTTCCTGTCTATATCCACCCGTGAAAACATTTCCCATGTCGGGAATCGAACCCGGGCCTCCTGGGTGAAAGCCAGGTATCCTAGCCACTATACCACATGGGTCACAGGCATGGGCGATGACTGGGCCACGGGGACGCTAAGCCCCGAAACCAACTCAAGGTAACCCTAACTCACTCGTATAGATGCTTAGCCTGCCTATGAAATAATCTAAGGACCTCATATCTACTATGTTGTCTGGTAGTTTGTTACACAAATGAACAGCCTTGTTTTCAAACTAGTATTTACCAAGGTCTTTTGTGAATCTAGTTCATGGAAAGAACTTCTCCAATTTATATCCATTATCTGACTTTCAGTTTTGTTAATATATTTAAAAACCTTATATCCTCTTTGATCCATTTATGTACTGTCACCCCTTACTCTTCATCTGTCTAGAGAATGTAACTTTAACTTGATTTAGGGTTCTTATTTGTGGGATAATTTGTAGGTACAAATAGTAAATACAAAACCCATTCTCAACCAATCATAAATAACGTACACACTCACTAGAAAAAAAGGTAAGATAAATTCAAAGTTGAAAATACCAATTTATTGAAATCACAATAATAAAAAAGTTTTTCAATAAAAGTTTATCTAATACTACACATTAATTTTTTTCCATTAATGATTTACATTAAGCATTTGATTTATAATATGAATGACTGATAATACTAACATGCATTGTCATTCTTTGCTCATAAGCCTTGTAATGCTTAATGTGGGAAGCATTAAAACAAGTCATGGAAACTAGTACTGTATACGAACACTTCATTTATGAAAGCCTTGTCATCAAATTTTTGTTGGGGCCAATTGATTTTTCTTAAGGGGTAACAAAAATATAGTCAAAGATTAAGTAAACTTTGAAAACTTTATTTATAATCACTTCAGTGTCATAAGAGGCCACACAATGAACTATTAAAATTACAAAGTGATAAAACCAATTAATGTAATGATGTATGGTTCCTGTACAACGATCCAAGTAAAGGACTTGGCCAGTAAAATTTATTGGCAAATGTTACATTGCCTTTCAAATTGGAGGAGCTTGGGCTGTGCTTTCCAACTCTGCTCTCTCCAGAGACATACTTCAACATCAGTAATTCTCCAGTCATCACTTCGTGATTCCACATTGTGGTCCTACAGTTGAAAAAGGCTTTGCCCAACTTAATACTGGTATTACAGACAACAAATACAGTATGGCAGAACCTTATATCCTGGTGAGCCGAGTTAGAGGACTTGTCCCCATACCTTAAAAGGTGTGTCCCTAAGCTAACGGTAAATAAATACACCATCCTTTCTTTGGTACACTAAACAATATTTTAGAAGTATATTCCTATAGACATTTTATTAACCATATGATGTAGTAAATTTGTTTCTTAAAACTGAAATGAATGTAACTCCTAATATTATTCAGCTACTTATTTTTCTCTATGTCCAAATTTTTAAAATTGAAAAAAAAAAAAGACATATACCATTCCACAGAGTCAAAACACAACACTGAACAGTAAGGCATCCTCTCACTTGTCACTTCAAAATCCTACCTTTTATCAACTCAACTGTAGTCACATACAATTAAATTCTATACATACCTTAATGTTTAGGTGCAAGACAGTCCCGAGAGCCCAATTAACTTCAAAACTACATCCAGAAATATCGCCAAAACACAATTACTGCATCACAATTCTAACATTTTCAAGTACAGTACTGTACATACATCAGCTTAATTAATGTTTTCAATCACATCAATTTTTATTACAGTACTGTATAGTTTACCACAGGTATTTGGACAAAATTAACAATCTTACGAAGATAATCAGCTTTTATACAAATTTTCTTTTTAAGCTAGTCAATTAGTCTATACAGTATTGTCCAAATATGCAAACCACTCATGTTGACAAGAACAGATCGTGTGAGAATGCTGTACATGGGCCCTTCACTCAATAAAATCTATTGTTTTCTTCATTATGTCAATGTACAATATTCCCAATGTACCTACCAAGTATAAAATCACATTTTGCCTCGGAATATCTTACACCAGCAAGAAACCACCGATAATTAAGTTTTACAGTAATAACTGCACAAGGAATAAAACTCCACACAGCCTTCCAATTCATTATAACTATCAGTTTGTAAACTTGCACATAATTCAACATCAAATATATTTAATGAAAATAGCATTGCATAAATTATACCTGATCCTAAATAGTGAACCTTTGCATGTACACCCACAAACTAGATTAAATGCAGTTATCACTTGCGACAAGCACATAGCTGCTGCAATGTCGGTAAATAGTTACCTGTCATGCTTTCCAGTCAGCCTGGTTTAGAATAGCTACAGTTAAATAGTGATGCTAGTACTGGCAAGTAAACACACAAAACACCTTCCCATACTGTAATCACAGAGTTTGAAATATTATTAACATGCTTTATACTTTATCTGGATTGAGAGACGTGATCCTGCAGTGTACAAATATATGGAGTAGCAGTTCATGAGAGTACACAGTATGCAGAGAGCACAGTATACAGGTGCAGAATCAAGTAATCGGTTGAAGTGTGAAAGTGCATGGTGTTCAAGTGCCCAAGATTGTAACTTACAAAAAAATTCACAGAAAAAAGTTTACAAATATTCCTGCCTACCAACATAAAGACTTGCTGTGTTTCTAACTTTGGTCAGATATATAATAAAGTACAATATCCAAAATATGTAAACATTAATGACTATGAATTGCATAATTAATAGTTATGCAGCTCTTCCTAATTCCATGAACCCAAAGCAAAACATGCAACCATACAACAAGATTCCACCTGCACATCAAATTTAGGTAATCATCACTGTAAAAATCATCACTCGTAAGCATCACATCGCTCAACTTCTTAAAACGTTGCATGGACAATGGGAACTCGAGCAAAATAGTGTAATAGTATGAAATATAAAGGAAATATGTCTCGCTGTCAACGACCACAAAAATCAGCAGTTAAATAATCACGGCAGACAATGTATGACAGGACAAAAATATGATACATGCAAGACTAATGCATTCAGCTGGAGGCAGAAATAAACGTAAAAGGAATGTTTTCCTCCATTTTGTCCTTGCAGAGTGCCTCTTACAACTGGTCTCAATGCTCTGCACATCTCTAGTTTCATTATGCTGTGACCTGATCAAGTAACAAAGTACTGTATATAGAATTTCATTAAATACAGCAATCACATTCACCGACTGTTTTGTGTACAGGTGCAGTAAATTTACAAATCCCAGAACCTACTACCCGTGCAAATGGTTTGTAGAGATTAAGAAAAACCACCTTGCTGCTGCTGTTTTTTTTTTTTCCAAAACATTTGAAATGCATATCTAAGCTAAACTTTTGCTACCGCAAACAAGTTTAAACAAATGAGGAAGATAAGAGTTCAGGCCCAAGCCTAGCACTGTGATGCAAGTGTAATTCAGTGGTTGAGACACACTTCACAACATATTGTTACTTTTGTGATCCTGTGAGACACAGCACACCATTACTTAGTAATGCCACAGGGTGCATCACATTAATAATTAGTAATGCCAATGTTATACTGTAGTACTATTGTCTTGCATTTAAAAGTTGGATTCCTTGAGTAATGCCTTTCTCTGCCAAAGGGATGAGTGTATGCTGTTTGGTCCCTTTTAAAACAGCATGTACAGAACCTTTCATCTTGACTTTCTTTATTAGCAAAAATAATATACAAGCGCATAACACTGAAGACTATATACAGAACCCTGTGCCACTGGGAGTTGTATAGTGCTTCTTAGCAGGAAGGAATTATAACTTATCCACTGTAAGACTGTTTGAATAAAACATTGTTAGTATGAAAGCCAGATAATACTAATCCTTCAAACAGTAGTACATCAACTAATTTTAGTTCACCGATATCAAACTTTAAAGAAATCTGAGAATGTACAGTAAGAAACATTGTGGCAATTATTTATTTGATATGATATAAAAAAACAAAACCCCCACAAAGTTTATCATAACAAATGAATCTTGCAACTTACAACTTCCTTCTCACAGACTCACAACGTTACAGCCATACAACCTGTAAAGTCAGCATTGAAGCAGATACAGCCAATAATCCAAGCATTTCTTTACAAGCCTACTGCACCAAAGGAATTTATGATGACCACACCGACTTCACAAAAGATCTATTCTTTTTAGAAATAACCTTATACGCAAGATGACCTTTGCAAATAATTCCTATATTCAAATCATCTGACAACAGAGTAAGATGTAGAACATCAGCACCCAAAAAGTTTAAAAAAAAAAAAAAAAAATACTGGAAGGGATAATTGTCTAGTTTATTTAAACACACTACAAGGCAGCCTTGTGTTGGAAGTATTATTACTATAAACACATTCAAGTCCTAGAAGGCATGAAAATATAGAAACTTAACTGACATACTGTACTGCAAGACATTAATATCATTAGTCAACACCAAGAACAAAACAGCGAGTGCTAGAATCATGTAGGAAACAAGCTGGGAATGTGCCTGGAAGAAAATCGAAACTGGTAGAACACAGCGATGCTTTAATGTTCCTCGTCATGCACTTCCTGCTTTGGCAACACTAAAAATCTAATATATTGTAACATGCACAGTAGTTCTAATGTTATTACAATATAATTTGCTGAAGCTTAATATTAGAAAGTTTCTGGATAAGTTCAGTTGTAAAGCCTGTTCCCTGTCAGCAAACTTTATCTAGAGCTAGTCATCTAAGGCAATACCTTACACAGCTCAAGGTTGACAATTTGTGGCGCACACAACCTTATCACATATTAAGGACTCGGGGCCCCCTCAGCACAGAATATTGCCAAGTGTAGTTATGCTTCTGGTGGGAGGTGGTATACACCTACACCAATGGTAGGAGGCAGTGTATAAACCTCTACACTAATGGTGGGAGGCAGTGTTTACACCTACACCAATGGTGGGAGGCAGTGTATACACCTCTAGACCAATGGTGGGAGGCAGTGTTTACACCTCTAGACCAATGGTGGGAGCGGTGTACACACTACACCAATGGTGGGAGTAGTGTACATACAACTACACCAATGGTGGGAGTGGTGTACACACAACTACATCAATGGTGGGAGTAGTGTACACACAACTACACCAATGGTGAGAGCGGTGTACACACAACTACACCAATGGTGGGAGTAGTGTACATACAACTACACCAATGGTGGGAGCGGTGTACACACAACTACATCAATGGTGGGAGTAGTGTACACACAACTACACCAATGGTGAGAGCGGTGTACACACAACTACATCAATGATGGGAGCGGTGTATACACAACTACACCAATGGTGGGAGCAGTGTACACACAACTACACCAATGGTGGGAGCAGTGTACACACAACTACACCAATGACATCACCGTGTTCAAGCCTTGAAGACAGCATCTGGTGTTGTGGGGAGAGGGGAAAGAGGGGGCACCTACTCTGAAAGTAGCAGAGAAAACTTATCTGGAAATACTACCGCTCTACACTCTCATATTCAGTAAAACAATACAGTATATAAATAAATACATAAATAAATAAATAGTGAAAATTAGCAAATGCCTATTACATGCATCAACAATGATGAGATCTCTGCTCAATTACCATTACAAGAAATTAACACTTTCTTAAAATAAATAATGCATGCAACACTACTTCTACCCCTGAAGTCAAGCAGAAATCAATGTCCCTGCAAGAGAACACACGTGTATCTGAAGTGAATTGTTACACTTAAATTTTTCAATTTTAACTATACCAAATCATTAATAGTTCCTTAACTAGAATGCAAGCATTTTAATATTATGCGTTTACAAAGAATAAGACGGCAATCATTCATTAATGCTTTGATTTGCGTGAAAAATCGTGATAGTTTCGATTTTTCCTGCAGCAAATTCTTGTTCATCTGGCGAGTTTTTGAGCCAGAAGTTATTATGCATCTGGCTCACTTCCTTAAAAATTAGAGGGGGCAATTGTTTATGGTTCGTGCTTCACCCTCCTAGCTGGCCATGTTGGTTGCCAGGACAGTGTGCATCACCACATCTGGGAACAAGAAAGTTAAATATACTGTACTGTACTAGAAACGTTTTGATGACAAAGATTTTTATGAAAATTAAAAAAAAAAAAAAAATGAAAGAATGGAAATAAGACCATGTTCTTTATTATGTGGTATACAAAAGTTAGCTAATGAAAGTTCCTAATCATTTTTTTTCAAGCAAATTATGTACTATTTGAATTTCGAGAATTTTCATATTCCTCTTTTTCAGGATTTTGTTACAATCCCACAAAAAAATATATTTCCTTTAAAAAAAATAGACAGTTGGAATGGGAAAGGACAAGAACAGGGAAAGGATAACTATTCTCAACACAGTACTGTAATGACACTGAAAATTAATGCAGCATTTTCTAACCAAATCAAACAAGCTGGATCACTGAAATTGTTATAATTCTTTTTCTGTAATATTTGTTTTAAATTGACAAAACAATTTGAAATTATATAGATTAAAAGAGTAATGTACTCATTATTTAAATAAAACCAAGCTCCAATATTTATAACTCGGCCATAATGCTAACGGCTTAACGTGATGTGCGCGCTTCCAGGAGTATATGTATGCGTCTTAAGGGGACAATCCAGTGTTGTAAAATATAACCAGAGACTCACAAATGCATTGCATATATATACATGTATATATATAATTATATAATGAACATAATTATTTATATATGAATGATTTTTCTTCTAGTATAATGATGGGATGCAAAGAAAAAAAATGGTGCCATAACTTGACTTGTATGATTATTAAAATTGCATCTTTTATTAGATCACTGAACAAAAATAGGCCACCCTTTCACTTGCAGAAATTTCATTTTCCAATTCATCACATGTAGAGCGCAACGTACTGACTCCATATCAATAGCTAGAATGAGGCCAGAGCTGAACAGTTCCAGGTCCGCAACATGACTGTTTACACCTTGATTTTCATCTTGAAGCATGTTGTAGTCTTTTTCATGTTTTATATTTTTCTAACTTGTATATTTTTGCTTTTTACTTTGTGCATAAATTAGTTTAGGCTTTATTTTTTAGTCATTTTAATGGTTATTGATTTATATCATTTGTGAGCTATATATTTGTTTTAACCAATCTTGTGGTGTGTTTGCTTTATTTTAGCACTGATGGAGTATTGACTAAAATGTCTATTTAAATAAACTGAAGATTATCTTTTGTTTTATAATACCATTCCTTTGTCATATACAGTAACTTTCAAGAAAGTGTTTAAGAAACCGAGACATTTCTTCTCACCTTATCAACAGCATCCCATTTTCGGAAAGTGGTTACCAGACCCTTTTTATCAAAACACTGGAATCCCACCTAACATCACCTTCGGAAGAAAATGTATGTATCACAGCATGCCATTGTTCTCAAGAATATTGTGCCCATTCACAACACAGAGGGGACGATTCTATTAACAAATAATATCAGAGACCCGATCAAGTGCCAGTCTCTAATTTACTAGATCTGCAGCAGATATACACAAGGCAAAAGATAATTGGCAATCCAGAAAATCTCATCTTTATAGACACACACTACTAAATAAGCATGAACTATGATAATATTTAAGGTAATGCTTTGGGAAAGTGAATATGCTGGATAACCAGAACAGTAAGGTTACTGGAGCTGGTCACCACATACGTGTATGCACTTCAGCGATAAAGTTGGCCAGTGTGTGCTATTATAAGGCATTCAGTTCTCACTCAAAATGCATACTGCTGTCCTATATAATATTAAAGCTAGCTCAAAAAGTTCTGTTTTATAATATGCAATTTTTAACTAAATAAAACAGCAAGACATCTTAAAAAGATACAAATAATAGCATTACCTTGTGAAACTCTTACCCAAATTTTATTTATAGCTAGAAATATGTACCCTAATTTACAATGTTGTTTATTACTTTTAGCAAATTACACATCAGTTTTCCAAAATCACTGTCAGGTGATAAATTGAAAAACCTTTACAATGCAGAGGTAACTGTGCCATCAATATGCACATAGTTATCATGTACAATCCAACCAACTGCTACTGTATTCACAAGGCTAACTTGCAAACCCTGCAACAACTTGCCAGCCAGACCAAAGCTCTCCCTGAAAAACATACACTACTAACGAAGCGAACAGCGAGGTTATGCTTTAATGCACTTTTTAAAACAGTCAGGAATAAACGAGAAATCTTTACTATTTCACTAAGTAAAGCAAAGTGCAGTCCAGTACCATCAATGAGATCAAGTAGACTGATTTACAACTTTTGGTATTTGCAGTAATGAAACCTGTGGTGTGAATACAGTGTTATCATCTGCATGTTTTAGCAATGAAAGAAAAGATGTACTGTAAGCATATTATACTACGATTTACCTAAATGAACACCAGAATGCTTTATGAAAGGTAAATATGAATAAAGACCAAAATGTAGGATAGAAGGACATGTTGTGGTTTGCAATGTACATTATCTGCTTTAGCCTCCCTTAGTATGCAGCTGATGTCTAAAATTTAGACATATTGGAGTTAGGACACGATGCATGGACAACTGCAAAATGACGAGATTTAAAAGTATCAAGTGTGGAGGTCAAGACCAGCATTAGAACAAAGTGCTAATGTTGAGTACTGGCAGTTGGGTGTTGAATCCATTAATTACTATGTGCTCCCATCTCTCCATCAATATGTCTATGTTTTATCTATATAAGAATACAAATATCACTTTTATATAGTCAGTGCATTTGTGTGTTCCTTTTAATGCTTTTCTGACTCTCATTTTGCAATACACCAAGAAATGGAAAGCTTTAAAAGGAATTTACTCAATCCAGATATACAAGTAAAAAAATGCCTAAATACTTAGACATAAGAGAGCATCTATACAAAATTCACAACATGACTTATCAATTCTCATTAAGATGAACCTGCATGTTCACTATTACAGTTTAAATCCCTGGAGTACTTGCCATGGAAATCATTACCAAATTCTCCTACAATATGCACACCTCCAACCCATCAGTACTCTAACATTACCCATGTCCTTGAATCTTAAACTAGTGGATAACTGACAAACTATGATACACATCACTGTGAGGCATTAGTTATACGATGATGGCATCAGCTGATACAATAAAGCCACTGTCAACATCAACATATTGGCACAACAAGATTGCACTACCTCCAGTAACCATTGGCTGTGCAGAGTGTGGTGCAGTTTGAACTCCACATTTAAATTTACATAATGGTAATATTTAAGAATCAACATCACTGACAAAACTTCAAGCCCAAAAATGATGTATCATATAATAAACATGACACCAAAAAGTATGAATTATTTTTATCCAAAAATTTTAGTTGGATTTTAGCACACACTACATGAAGTATTACGTAGTAAAGCTGTTACCCACAGAAAAGCTTATTTTACAACCATAAGTTTATCCCTTATACATTGAATAAAAAAAAACATAGCAATGAAATAAATGTACATTTCACAATTCAAAAATATAGTACTAGGTAAAAGACCAAAGCCTCTTTTTGGCTTCATAAAATTATTATATAGAAGTTACAGCCCAGCCAACAGTCCCTCAAAGGAGAAGACGGCAGACAGCTCTCACAGGCAAGACGTCTCTTATATACGACCATATTTCACCACTTGGATCAAAAATATATCAAAGAACATCCTACAAGCATAAATCACATGTACAGTTAATAACGAAACAAACTCAAGATGTACCATAATTATTCCATGATGTACATCCTAAAGTTTATTGACGATTTTAATCAAATTAAACATCCGCCGGCCTTTATCTAGACTGTAGACATACCGTATTAACTGGAATTCCTAAGACATTGTTCGACTACAGAAAATGTGCAGTTACTTTTACTTGTCCATCTTGTCATTTAATGAAAATCAGTAATAGTTAAATTTTTTAAATTTTTGCCCCGAGGGGCGAGTTTATTGGGCAGCGCCACTCATCTTGTGAGTGGACATACCGCCGTTCAAATAGTTTTTTAACTGTAAAATGCGGAATAATTTTATCTGCTACAGACTTCTGAGGTCTTTATGCAATATTAGTGTATTCTACCTGCAGTCAGTGGAGTGTGTGATAGTCAAAGGAACTATTGTACAGCACTACATCGTACATCCTTAATTCTGTACTACATCCTGAAATCTGTTAATTATTATTATGAGATAAAACAACTAAAAGCAATAAGCTTGCAATTTAAAAAAAAAAAAAATTAACATTAACTTTTTAATGTATGTAAAAATACTCACTTGACTAGTTCATAAAACAATTTGTATAAATAAACCAATTTTGTTTAATTTAAAATACTTTACAGGAACAGAGGAGTACATTTAAAAAAGGAAGAGTGAAGCTGAGTGAACTCCACTCATGCTAGTGCAGCTCTTCTCAAAAATAAAATTGAAAAATAAAATGCTACGAGGGTTCTAAACCCCCTACAAATTAACCCTCAATTTTTTGTTCTTCAGATAAATAGTTTTGTCTTAAATACAAAAACAAGACACAGATTTGGTGGCAGAAATCAATTTCTAATAAAGTGGCAAACAAGTCAGGGGTGTGAAACCCCCCCCCCCCCACAATAGCTACACAGCCCCTATCCTGTATCAGTGTACTCTATCTCTTTTAAAATGAACATAAGCATACATGCTTAAAATAGTTAACACTAGCACAATAGTGTTGACAAAAATTGACACCAAGATACGTAAGATTTAAAATGATTTACAGTGAAGTATTTAAGTGTATATATGCCAATTTGTAATTCAGTAAAAGAAAACAAAAACAAAGAACAGGTAAGGGGTAAACAAGTGCAGAATTCATGTCTTAGGTTATGCTGTGACACTTGACTGAACACACAATTCAGCTCCTGGGATGCCATTTGACACATTCTTTTTAATCTCAGTACTGCATCTTGACAAAAACAAACTTTTTCATAGACCTTTTACTGCATAAAGTAATGCTTATTTATACAAAAACAAACAATTCCAATTTCTGACCATTGGGTTTGTGTTCTGATAAAGTCAACTTTTCTTTTCCACACCCTCTTTGGTTCACACACCTACCACAGTTTTGAAACTGTTACTCCTGTGTTGATATTGTGTCAACTAATCGATCGCCACTAAAATTGGCCTCGGGAATAGCAAGTCACCGCTGGAACTAATTAGACAAATGTTTGAACGCACAATAAACAACACTGTAATCCACTTGGAACAATTGCAATTTATACATCACATCTAGTACAAGGTTCAAGGTGGTTCTGGTGCTCCTCCAGCCAGCGGAATACGCACACCTCTTCCCTGCAATGAAACAATAAACTAAGTCTAAAACTTCAAAACATATTTATAACAATAAAGAGCATTCAAAGAACTCTTCATAATTAATTTAGAACACAAGTATACTATATTAGACACGACATCAAAATGTCAAAGTAATAAAGACTAATTTAATTGTGAACAATTAATGGATTTAATTTTTTAGAATGAGGAGGGGGCCTTTGGCAAAGCTTTACATGAAGAAGTACCATATAAATAATGCATTTTATTATAATTAAAAGCTAACAAAAAACATTTTCCTTACCTTTCTGGAGAAGTCTTATCCTGAGAAACTACTGTACTACTAAACTATCCAATCTAACAAAAAAAAATTGAACCAAGTCGTTATCTCTTGGAATCACTGCCAAATCAGAAACAGTGCTAGTGATAATCTTTATAAACTCCTCTGTCAGAATCCTAACTATAGATAAACGGATACCTTTATTTTTGGTCAATACAGATAACTATATACTAGCAGCACTACTCTGAAAATCTGGATCATATCATTCCAGACTAGATCTGGGTTTCAAAGTGTTCTTTTTGGCTATTATCAGCAAATTTTCAAAAAAAATTCTTATAATAAATTATTAGGCATGTTTCAGTGTATTCAGACATACTTCTCTTTCCACCACTGATTATTTTCCTCACAAACTATATAATGTACTGCCTTTGTTTTTTTAACCCCTCAACTGCGCCAACCAACAAATGTCGTTTTGATAACTGTCCGTTTTTTTTAATAGGCTATATTTTAATGTTTTTAATGTTTTCATCACTCTTTTGTGTTTTGAAATTATAATAGTTTAGTTTGGAAACATTTTGACATTAACTTTACCTGAACATTTATAAAAGCAACAAAATATGTCTTTAACAATTGCACTTTGAAGTTTTTGCCAATAACAGGTGCACCGTCCAGGGGTTAAAGACACTCTCAATATATAGAGATATCCAGCTTATTCACAAATCCAGATTGTGTGTGAATCCATGTGGTTCATATTTAATATACAGCTCAAGACAACCTTGAGATTTAAAGCTTTTTTAAAACTATTCTAAATATGCCATCAGGGTGTTATATTACCCAATAATAATAATAGGAATCTTCCTTGTGCCTCCAGATATACGACTCAAAACCTTTAAGCATAAATGAATGACATTCTCCAGATATTGCAATATTAAAAAACCATTAAAACTATCCAGATACTTTTGTGCGCAATACGTAACTAATTAACAACCTTCACTTTACTAAACACACAATCTAAAAATACTCGGTCTTACCATGGCATTAATCTTGGCTCAAAATGTTCAACAATTTGCATCAGCAGAGGGTTTTGTGGGAGTGGAAGGTGTGATGTCCATCGTCTTGCACACCCATCCGGCAATATCCACATCCTCTTGCTCTGCTCGCTTTATCCACTCATGGTTCTAAAAAATATAATTAAATTGGTACAATAGAGAAGAAAGTGATAAGACTATGATAAAGTTGCCAGGTAATATAAAAGGCAACAACATTGGTAAAGAAAGCAAGTGAAAAGAATCTAGTTCTCAGCAAATTCACGACACGGGAAATAAATTTGGGAACATAGAACCTCCCAAAATGGGGATGAAATGTGAGGAGGAAAGAGCAGAAAAGATGAAATTAACACTTCTTGAGACAACTCACCATATAGCCACAAAGGCGAGGAAAAAAAGAACTATTGAAACTGGACTTCTGGCGTTTGCCCAGAAAAAAGTGTATGTTGAGAACATGGTATGTAAGTACAGTACATTATACTTACCAGTATGTTGCTTACTGGTAAATATAATGTTAGAATCCAGCCACTCAAGATCATTTAAGGAAATGCGTAAAGAAATGGATTAAGAAAGATTTGAGACTTCAAAATCAAGGGTTTTCCTGGAGAAAATGATCTGGAGGAAAAACAACTAAATAGGTTGACTTATAACTTAGAAACACAGAAGAGTTTACCTCACTCAGAAAGGAAGTCAATAAAATAAAGCTGAATAAACCCATGGTTCAGCAATCAGTGCAGGGAAACAAATAAATGCACAAGGTATGGAAGAATACAAGAGCATAAATGAGTAGAGGCTAACAAGCAGGTACCAAGGAAACCCAGAAATTATTAGACCCGAGTCAGAAGAGAAGCAAGTAAATAATTTGAGAATGACGGCAGGAATAGTGGAGAACGGCCACAAATTAACACAAGGCCTGTGTTTGAATCTAAAGTTTTTTTTTTTATGTATATACTAACAATGACAAAATATATCTCACCTGTAGTGTTGTAAGATCAGCTCTCTCACTAGGACTTTTCTTAAGACATCGGTCTACCAAATCTACAAACTCAGGAGTGAACACTCCCGGAGGTAGCCGAGGTGGCGGCTCATTTACAATGTAGTCCAACAGCTCGAAGATGGCCATGGGCCGTGGTTCCCCAGGAAGGCCAGCTGCAGAGAATATCCACCATTACTTTGACTGATGGATGCCTACTACTGCTACTACTATCAATTACAATTTAGAGGAATGCACAGGCATTAATCACATAATGTAAGAGAGGATACAATTTTTTTGCAATTTTTTTACCTTTGGCCTCAAAATCAGGTAGCCGTGTTTAATGTACCAACTAATGCATTTTTCTACTGGGAAAAAATAATTAACAAGTTTTAACTTTATTGTTTACTGAATGAAAAGCAATGGTTGCCAATATGAAGAAAACCACCATACAAAAACAAACGGTATATATACCAGTACTGTACACCCCTATGCAGTGGGAATGAGAGAAGGGAAAGAGGTGTTAAGTAGTTAAGTAAGATGGGAAACAATGGTGTGGGTGCTATTTAATATTTTCCTGGGTGGCATAATACTTGACTGGTTTGTCTCTGCCCAAGAGCAGTTTCCTAATGAGCACACTGTGGAAATCATGAGGATTTAAAACTTTTGGCTGCAACTGGTGGTAGAACATGCCCAGTGAAAAATACTCCTGCACTGTTGAAAGCAACTTTTACAAAATGCCTTGAAAAAATAGTTTCTACATCCTGTAATATTTGTACACACATCTGGCTTTCAGAACAAGAATTTGGGTCCTGTGACTGCAGCTAATTGGAGGCAAGAGAATAAAATACTGTATATCCCATGTGGAAGATTTAAATCAATTAGAAATATCTTGCACTTGTTTATGTCTCCGTAACCAATAAGAGTGCTAGAATGATTAATGGGAAATATTAAAAGTGCATTTTCCTTATTAAAAAAATATACGCAGGAAAAATGAGCAGACTACCTTTTAAATTTTAATTTGCTATTGTACTAAAACATACAATTCTTTAGTGAGTACGCTTATTGCTTTTATTTATGATATCTATACAAACTAATTCAAAGACGGATCATGTAATGCCCAACCCCATAACCCCTTTAAATTTTCCTGCAAGTTGGTCTATATCCATCTTCACCCAAAAATCCAAATTTTCGATAAGCCCTACTTTTGGTTCAAAAGTTACACCCCCATATTTTTAGTGTGCAAGAACACATTATATATTCAAATTCATATATCTTTGCTAATAAGTGAGCTAGAAGGCTGATTTAAAGTGCATTGACAAGAAATCTTTCAAAAATTAAGCTGATATTGCAATGAGGAACACTTAACATTTATTTTAAAAATTTATAGCGATTTTTATTTTTAAGGAGGGGTTCAACTCCTCGTCCCCCCCCCCCCCCCAGCAATTTACTGCACAGCAAAACAAGACTGAAGTCAATTACAGTAATTCCATGTTTGATTTATTCCCTTGAATTAAGAAGTATATACTTGTAAAGACACAGAAGGCCACCAACCTGATCTGGGTGAACGTGATGTCGGGGATGGGCTTACACCCTCAATTTTGGACCCAAATATTTTCTTGAGCGTATTTGGGTCAGGTGGTGGGATAGGATACATACCAATAGCCATCTCTACCAGAGATAATCCAAGACTCCAGATATCACTAGCAACAGAATAGTGGTCACCATTCAATCGTTCTGGCTGGAATTGAGAAAAAGACACAGAAGTTGATAATTTCTCACAATAACAACCAATCAACAGAGCAGTTTTATTACTGATATATACATGGAAATACAAAATAGCTATTTTTGACATGGTAAATTTCTTTAGCCAGATGAATTCTTTATCAAAGCCAACAAATGACCTCATCAAAATTTAACACAAAGATACTGTATTAACAAATTTGGTGAATTCTGAAGCTTTGCAAATGACAAGGCACACCAACAACACAAGTTGCTACAAGGGTGTAAGGTATCAAAGCACAAAAACATTTACAAACAATAATAAATGAACAAGTAATGAGCACAAATTGTTAACAGGCTTCACTTTCATCAAAAACCACACGCATGTATGGTAAGCAAAGATACAAGGCACAACCAAGTGGGGGATGAGAGGTAATGAAGGAGCCATGTAACTATGCCAACAGGTAGCTGGAAGAAGATCCAGGCACATGAAAATATAAGAAAATGCAAAAGCAAGCGGTCGTGGATGTGATTACGAGTGAATGCGAGCAGGCATGGATGCGAGCAGGTATGGTCGAGAGTATGCATGGATGTGAGCAGACATAGTTGCGAGCAGGTCGAACGAGAGCAGGCATGGACAAGAGCAAGCGAGATGAACAAGCAGCCAAAAACTTGCACAATTTTGGAATATGCTATGAGGAGCAAGTGCAGACTTTGGTGGATTTACCAGGTTAGAATACAAGCAGTTGAGGACACAACTTGATGCAGACATTTGGGAGGCGATATGGACTGATAAAATTCAAATAAGAAATAAAAAGTACCAAAGACATAAGAAAACATGATGCCATAAGAAGCTACTGTAACTGAAAACTGGGTGTGCAGGAGGTGGAGGACAGGCTGAAGAGCTAAGTGACTGGAAAGATGTAGCAGTGTTCGAGTCCAAGGTAAAGGATATGTTCTGATGAATAAGGGGGAAGGAAAACTAATTAGATTGGGATTAGCAAAGTTACTATGCACGTGCAGGGACCGGGAAGGACTTAGGCACAGGCTGGCGCCCTAGTTGTGTCTTGTTCTAGGAAATAAAAGAGAATTAATAAACTGTAAACCAAGTGCATGTTAACAGCAAACCAAACAGACTGCCAGTTAAAATTATCCATGGGCTAGATGTTTTTATCAATGCTACCTATCTTTTACTTGTATGTTCGGTGCAATGTGATGCATGATATCTATTAACAATTCGGTTTCCGCACAACTATATAGAATCAACCAAACTTCAACTCTCTCGCTAAGATTTTTTTTTCCGCATTTCCATCTAACCTTGGATAGCCACCTGTGCCTTCCTCCACTCACCTCAATATAATAGTATAATGACGTTGTCAATCTCTCAACGGGAACTTCACCCTGTAAAAGGAGAAACATGCCAAAGAACCTAAATGCACACTTCAGACACACTATTGGGTCGTGGCATGGATGAAGCCCAACCCTGTGGCGTGTGTTTGTGAATCACAGCCATTACAACGCAAGCACATTGGTAGAATCAGTGAATGGTTCAGTGTGAGTGATGAGTTTAAGGAAGGATGTGTAATCTCAATACTGTATAAGCTTGTGGAGAAAGTGCAGTGAAGCAATGCCACATACACACATATTTGAGAAAAATTAATTCTGAAACACAGAAAAAAGATGTGAAAGTTGAACATGTTATTGCTTGTTGCAGATCATATTTCTTGGTGAGGTAGCATAAGTTACACACTGAGTGAGTTTGAAGAAATGACCTTCAGTATGAAAATGGCCAAGAGGCAAGAACAGTACTCATGTTCTAGGTGAGTATGACTGTGAAAGAGTATGGAATGAGCAATTGACAGACAAGGCTGACAGATATAAATACTTATTACACTAATTTATTCTCAAGACCACATCCTGCCTTATACAGGGTGGCCCATGCATGGTAACCAAATGTTGAGTTTTACTTAATTTTCACACAACTTCCCAGAGTGGCGACACACATTTTCCTGCCTTTCTCGGTGTTATAACACAAGTAATTAATATCCTCTAATCTACTGCCTCAACTAAACATTTTCACCATTTTTTGTTTCAAGCCATTTTTAACCCTTTGGCTGCCATCAATTGCCCTTATATTTAATATTATCACCTAGGTCTTTAAGGCAATTTACCAATTATAAGATTAATTATACAGAAACTAAATTATCTCACCATAGAAAGATTGCACAATACAGTATTATATTCAGCCACATGCACATATGTACTACTAATATTCCTAGTATTTACTAATCAATTTAATTTCTTATGCCATGTTTTTCCACAAAGAAATGAGCAATGATACATATTTATTTGCCAAGAAGGACATACGAGATGGAGAAAAACATTAGGGTGACATATTGTGATTAACTTGAGGTGCATGCCTAGAATTAAACACGTGAGTAAATTATTGGCAAGTACAGTACAATAAACCATGCGATAAAAGTGCATTGACAACTAAAGAATAATAGCTCAAAAATGTTAATACATAAATAAGACAAATATAAAAGATGACTTATAAGTAAATACTATACAACCAAAGACAAATTCTACCAAATCTCTGAATACCCATAACACCAGGACATGAAATGTGTGTGTCTGTGATGAACCAAATATTAAAAACACTACTGTACATGAAAAATGTGAGAAAACAAGTTGAGACAAAACCCACTCAATATAAACTGCCACTTATGGTAAGAAAAACGTACATACAACAATAACAGTATTATTACCCCGACTCCCACTTTCATGCAGTGTGGAGGTGTCAGCCCAGAGAAAATGGACAAGTAATAGTAAAGATGATTGTAGATATTAAATTACAAAACCTAGGTTGGGATCTTGTCGTGGAGAGAGGGCAGGGCATGGGGGATGGTCGCGGGGAGAGGGCAGAGCATGGGGGATGGTCACGGGAAGAGGGCAGGGAATGGTGGATGGTTGCGGGAAGAGGGCAGGGAATGGTGGATGGTTGCGGGAAAAGGGCAGGGAATGGTGGATGGTTGCGGGCAGAGGGCAGGGCATGGGGGATGGTCGCGGGAAGAGGGCAGGGCATGGGGGATGGTCGCGGGGAGAGGGCAGGGCACGGGGAATAGTCACAGAGAGAGGGCAGGGCATGGGGGATGGTCGCGGAGAGAGGGCAGGGGTGCTACAAACTACGTGCAGTAACAGCTGGTAATTAACAGCACTTCCACCTTACAATAAAAAGTTCCTACTCTCTAACCTATATTTCCCTGACTTATGCCCTCACCATGTTATTTTTTACACGTGCGTCCCAACCATTCTTGCTACACATTCTGTCTTCGGTGCAACTGCTTCACATTTATGATGGTGGTTAAGCAATCAAGTATTTTTTTCGTAAATGCTTTAAGCTTTCCTTCAGGTCTTCAGTACTTGAAGGCATTTGAAGTATCTAGACCATATTCTAGATGACTTTACCCCTTCAAGAACAGGAAATTCCCAGAGGAAAAAAGCATAACAAAAAAATATACACTGTATTGTAGTGTTATAAATATTATATATACAACCAGTCCTGGCAACATTTCCTTAAAATACACAAAAAATGTTTTAACCTGTATCATCAGCAAATAATTAAGGGAAAATTGAATTTGCTCAATGAAGCAGGTAAATTTATATCATCACTATTAGCATAAATGTTATAGAAAGTAATTCATATTTTTAAATTATCAAAAGGTGCTTCAGCAGTCATAAAAAACTTAAAGCACTCTTCATATATCTAAAATAATAAAGGTGTTCTCCATTTCATTTCAAGAGGCCCATGCAACAATCTGATCTTTGAACATTAATTTTTCATCCAAACTCAACTCTGCTGCCCCCTGCCACTTACGCTACTTCACCCTATGAAAATTTTGTTGCTTTGAACAGCTCACATTCAACCATCCCCAACTCACCTTCCAATCAATCCTTGTTAACTCTAGACCTTCATGCTTTCAAACATACTGAAAAGCCAATCATCCTTTAATGCCATGCTCTTTTAAAACCTATAAATGCTAAGCATAAACTTTATTTCTACTATTAAAATTGTAGCAAATAATTTTACATAAAGCCATGCCAATACATAAACCTGCAGTTCTCACATGGACAAATCTGTTTTTCAATCTACCATTCATTATTCTACTAACCCAGCTAATTTTGTTAACAAAATTCCCATATTCATATACTCTCACACACACACACAAACATGCATTTATCACATTCTCTGAGACCTTGTCTTTTTTACTTGTCCTTGCAAGTGCAATACTTTAAAAACTTTGCTTTAAAAAAACATCACCACATTCTGAAGTGCCACTTTATGTCATGCACAACTTCAAAACAATCAATAATGTCAAAGTTATGGCAGAGGTACGTTTTCATACTATCCATCCTAGCGCTGATAGTTTCCTGTGAAGTAAACAGCAGATCCTCACTACTCACAAGAGATTAAGTTTGAGACACATGAATGCTACAACTTAACAAGAAAACTATGAGAAAAGGGGAAAAAAGGATTAACAAACAATTTTAAAGAATAAATCATATACTGTATAAATGTTTGAAACTGTGTGTGAAGAGAGGGAAGGAGGAGGGTGTAATTACCTAGATCACATAATGGCTTGGAATTAGTAACAGACTAAGCATCTGTGGCCATCAAAGCAACAGATATAGCCAACCAAGAGTGCAGTTCCTGAGCAAGTCAACTTGAAATGTAACTGAGCAGAGAATAAGTCCAAGGAGGCAAGATGCATATGCCCCCAGACAGATGTCCTTATAGCCCACTGTGACCTTAGCTAGGAACATAAGAGGAACCCGAGCATGTAGCTACTAAATGCCAAGGCAGGAGCATCAAAGATATCTATTAAGGAAACTGACTTTTTTTTTAATTTAAAAAGCCATGCAAGAAAATGCCATGTCCCATAGCAGTAGAAGAAGCAAACTACTGCTGAGCAGAAACCATGCATAAACAGGAACATAAAGTTTCATAGAGCTTGAAGTGGCCTGAAATAAGACCACAGGAACCCAATAGAGCAGAAAGGCTTTCAATTGCCATAAACTAAACACACAAAAAAATGGAGGCATCATGTCACTCCTGGAAAGGTGGATATAGTTCCCTCACACACACAGAATGCTCGAGGCGGTTTCTTTAGGGGCTGTGGGGGGGATGACATGGATATTCCTGTACAGGGCCCTAAGCCTTTGGCTAGCCTGTAAAACAGTGTCTGGTAAATATAAAAAAAAAAAAAAAAAAAAAAAAAAAAATGCCACATGCTTACAAGGAAACTGCTACCACCAGAATTCAACTCTATATAGGATGACACCATAGTGTAAACACCAGAAGAACCAAAAAGGGTCATGAGCAGCAAAACCCTTTGTTAGAACAAGACCCATTTTATGCAGGATAGACCCAGAGAGAAGCAGAATCACAAGGTGTTTACTTGAACCTAGTCCCATACAACAAGGATGATGAAAGGCTAAGGCAGCCCAGGGTTGAATCAAACAAAAAACTCTCTCTCATGAGCCCCAATGCCTTACTCATTCCCGGGGAACTCTCGTGAGGCGGTGACCACAAACTGTTTCACAAGGCCAAAAGTGCAGTAAACAGTTCCACCAACACTTGTGGTGATGGTTGCTACTACCTGGTGGTAGCAGTATCAACTTAGTTCCTTAACTGGTAGTTAGCAAAGCAATAATTCACCTTCCTTGTGTTACTAAATTATTACTTGCAAGGAAATACACACACAAATTACAAGAGCATGATGCATCAAATGAACAAATCCATAAGGGCCGTGAAGAGGGTTCGAACCTACATCCGGGTTGATCCCAGACGCGCCTTGGTCGACTACGTCACGACATGGTAAAAGAATTGCAACCTGGAGTGCTACTGCCCTCAGTAGGCAGTAGTGTGTATTGAAGGGCGAAGAGGTAGAACATTTTGTCGACAGAGCCCGGGTGCATGGAGGAATTGTGTAAAATCCCAGTCTGTGCTTCGGAGAAGCTGCAGCAGCCTTGTGAAGGCCAGTAGCACTCCAGGTTTCAATTCTTTTACCATGTCGTGGGGCAGTCGACTAAGGCGCGCCTGGGATCATCCCGGACGTAGGTTCGAACCCTCTTCACGGCCCTTGTGGACTTTTTCACATGTAGAGGAATGAACTCTTCAGTAAAGTATAATAGCAAGCTGGTCCGTCAGTGGTAGCCAAGTTAGACTCGTCACTGCCTCCCAGAATTTCCTCAATTAAATCACTTGCAAAAATACTTGTTAAGGTGGAAGAAAACTTTGTCGAGAGCCTAGCGAGCAATACAATTCCTAGGTGGCCCATAATGGCTCTGGCTCAAGGAACATCTAAGGGGCCCTCGGCTCAGAAAACTTCACTATTTATTCTTACCGCCTAACTATAGGACCAAGTATTAATCAACATATACACACACTTTCCACTAATTACTAATGACTGACAAACAATTTAGCAACAAAGAAGAAAATAAACATTATATCTTCTTGACTTGCAAACAGCAGCTTTCATCAAAAGTACCATTCTGCCTGTATGAAATAAAATGTTCTTAAAGTAGCATGAACAAATTAAAAAACTTCTATATAAAAAAAAAATCACCACTCCAGGTTTGGGGGTGCCCATGCAGTAGCACTAGACATGCAGTTTACAAACTAATGGTGTAGGGGTGAAAGGGAAGGAATGATCATCAAGATAAATGCTTTTTATGTTCATGGCTTCACTTATTAGTTTACATAATGTATTTTGTGTGTTTAATAACCTGATTTAAGTACACACACACACACACTGTAATTGACAAAAATGGCGAGTACTGTATCTAGGCCTACAATTTTTCCACCTATGTATAAAAAAATCTGTCCCTGACACGGCTCAAAGAAAGTTTCTTGCAACCAATGCTCTTGCTGCTATTCTATGACCAAAGTGTAATTCTACAATAATCACAAAACATTTGTACATGATAGCCTCATTGTAGGATTTTGTACGGGTTTAGTCAACTTCATTACATCAATATAGATATAGCAAACCATCCTCCTGTTTAGATAGTACCTATTGTGACAATTATCAATAGTCAGAATTCGTACGTTTTTAGCTTTTAGAAAGTGGTATGCTGACTAGTAAGAAATTTTTTCAAAATAAATTAAGCTAAAACACAAACTTAAATATACCTTGGCCTATAGTATAGCGCACATACATAATATATTAGGCTTTAGATATCGTGTATTAGGCCTAGGGAGGTTAGGATAGGTTCGTTTAGTTTGTCAAAGCAACACAAGTACAAAATAGTTTTCCGGTTTGTCCAACTCAATAGTTCAGATTTCTACATTCTAATTTCGTTGTACGTCCGTATATATACTATGGTTCTTGTCGTTACTATAAGTACAGTACAGTACTACCAAAAACAGGAAGATGGCCTGGATATAGTATAACGATAACCAAGTTTCATAAAAAATGATGAAAATAATTAAAAATCACCAAATGACTGTAACCACATCAGCCCAGGGATAAACTTAGGATGATAAACGACCTTTCAGGGTTAAAGGAACTCTGAAATCACAGAATCTAGTTACAAATTACCTCACGAATTTAACATACTTGGCACAATTATTTCCATTCTAAAGGCAAACTATATATATCATTCTTGCCTAACTATTAGGTAGTACTAGTATAACAACTCAACACAAGACACTTCACTCAAGATGACAGGAATACTATCTAGCTAAATCAATGAAAAATAAAAAGTCAACTCGCGATGCACCAGGATTGTGTAATGTCACCATTAACAACTGCTATGTTTACAGATGCAAACGTTTGAGAGGTGAAAGCAAAATTGAGAAGCTTAGTTACAAAATAGTTAACAGCAGTGACTATGGAGACTAAGTTATTAAATATGAATAAAAGCAGTTTTGTAAGCAAGTAATTATCAAAAGCCACCACCAAACCGGGAAGGTTATGTACCACCAAGCAGTTTTGTATGCAGTTAAATAATTAGTTAAACTTTTTAAAGGCTGCAGGAATACGATCTTAATAAGGAATATATGTTGGGGGAAAATGAACATGCAGTAAATTAAATTATATAATATTAACACTGATACTTTGGTGAAAAAATAGAAGATTTTGAATAAATGTTTAATGTACCAAATTGATGAAACTGCTAGGAAAAGTTTGAGATGTACTACAGGCTAAAGTAGAAGAAAAAGTGTGTGTAGTGTACATGAAGCTTGCTAGGAGTCAACACTTCTTGTAGATACAAAACACCAACACATAATCAATTGATCAAAACAACGGAAGTGTAACGCTAGGAACCAAAAGAATCAAAAGGGTAAATAAAAGTGGTGTGGAAAAGGTACATGGGACAGAAAAGTTATTAGAGTTATGCTACATATATATGCCATGATAGTACAGTATATGCAAAACTACATTTTAAATAAAAATTCAGACGTGAAAGAGAAGAAGGTGAAAAACTAAGTCTCAAAATCCTGACTGAACCTTAAGACCCACTAGTTTATCACTCTTTTACCAGACTGAAAAACAAGAACATTACATACGATGTCAAGGGACTGCATTTAATTTAAAATATGATTTCATAAAATGGAGTCACAATGCATCAAGTAAACATAGCAGCTGAAAGATATAGATATTTTGTGCCTAAAACTCAAAGTTAGTTATATTAATAAATGCACTGTACATACTTATTAATTTGAGTATTCATCATCTTTATTTGAAGATTAAGTTGTTCATTATATAAATTGGTAATTAAGCTTAAGAAAAATGACAAATATTCTAAAATGGGAGAATCATGGTAAGCAATATGCAGGCGATGAGTCACAATAATATGGCTAAAATATGATGACCAGACCACACACTAGAAGGTGAAGGGACGACGACGTTTCGGTCCATCCTGGACCATTCTCAAGTCGATTGAGAATGGTCCAGGACGGACCGATACGTCGTCGTCCCTTCACCTTCTAGTGTGTGGTATGGTCATCATGGTAAGCAATATATTTGAAATTTTGCATGGGCTACCCAGGATAAGACAAAATACTTCATTTTTATATAAAGTATTTATACTGTATAAAGTTTCATAAGCCGTGACTAACCAATACACAAAATATTTATAAAATTCTTGAAATCTTAAATGTATAATATATGTAATCCCCCGTATTTATGTAAATTGCTCGATATGCTCAGTCATGTAATAATTGTTTGGTGATAAATTATTGAGTGTTATTTGCATTTAGTGAGATGTGAAAATTTAGTACAAGACTGAGCTAAAGAAGAATTATGCCAATGTACACATAACTGAGGTCAGTGGTTAGGTTCTATGCATTAAGGAAGACTGCTCACAGAAGCAAGGCGAGTTTGAATGAATGCTAATAACTGTGCAGAAACCGAAATGTTTTATTTTTTTTGTTTTGTTTTTGCATGGGCCACCTTACATGAGGCAGGAGGACCGTATATAGCTAAAATTAAGAGCCTGCTTATTTTAAAATCATTTACTGCCTAATAATAGGTTTACAATATTACTGTATTTAAAAAGTAGATGCCTCCTCCTGCACTTACTGACATGTAACTTCTCGTGCCTACAAATGTGTTAGCCATACTGTCAATAAGCTGGCCCGACACTCCGAAGTCACAGATCTTGATCTCTCCACGGGAATTAACCAGAATATTGGAAGGCTTTACATCCCGGTGAATAATCTGGTGCTTTTCACGAAGATATGCCAAACCTTTCAATACCTGGTGATTAAATGCTATATTAATACAGTATCAACACCATTTGTCTACATATTTTATCTACTAATGCTGCACCAAATATTTACAAAATAAATGGTCATAAATATTCAGGAACAAACACAATGAATACCCTCACAGACCTACATATTGATAAATTCTATTTAGAGCATTAGTATATCTCAAAGTTCACTTCAAAACCACCCTAAAACTGTGTTCTCCTTTTCTTACCACACACTACATATGAAACATTCCCCCCCCCCATCAACATATTTTATATATTCTAGTAACTTCAATGCTCATTGTCCCTACACAGACTTACTCTCAGTTCACCTATATTTTACCTAGTCATACCAATGCACCCATGTCTGCAGATTCTGTATGGCTCCCAGTAGCTAACAGATGGGTCTCAAGGGTGTGGTGTTATGTTGGGATATGACTTGGTGATACCTGTGATGAGCTTGGGGAACTAAGGAGTCCATCCCAAAAACCCATTAAGACAATGCTAGCGTTTCATCAGTAATTGTTATTAAAACAATACAAGTCTTATTTTAATACCTTTTACCTGAAGACATGCTAAAAATGCTGTTCATACTACAATTTCCTTATTTTCCCCCCTAACTTTTATAGTATTTTTATTATATAATACTCAACAGCTATATGGGTGCAACAGTATATATTTTGTTCATTATTGTTTACAATACATTACATACTATCTAATTGGAGAATGTTTTAACACATTCATATGATGTGATGCTGTTACATCAGTGAAGAGAAGGATATATCTAGAATTAACTTTAATAAAGCATGAAATAGTTAACTTGTGATGAGAACAATGTAGGGAAATACCACATTGAAGGAGCAACTTTATTTGTAAATAAAGTTTCAACTGCTTGAAATGTACATCAGAAGCTCTAGTAACAAAAGCATAAATATTCATCATACAGAACAGTATTTAGTGTTATTCAAGAATAATCAATATATCTGTAAAGATATAATCGACAACATTTTCTGCATTTGAAATTAAGGAATCAGGATTTTAGTCTGTCGGCAAAATGAGGCAATCTTTCACAAGCTCTAAGAAAATACAAATATAACATAGCTTACCGTAGAACATATTTTTGCTAAGATTGGTTCAGGAATGCGGATGGCTTTCTTTAGACATAAATCAAGGGATCCACCGTCCATGTACTCCATACATATAGAAATTTCACCCTCACTGTTGAAAATAAATTTAATTTGAATCTTCACTACAATTAAGTTAAAACAAATTGGTTTTAATTAATCCCTTTACCATTACAATCTCCCTCAAATTCGAGTGAACAATTGCTTTTCGACATAATACAGGGCTGTTGGTTTAATGATAATTTAGAGAACAAGTAAAAGCTCCTATTACTCAGCACACTTTATTATGATAGTGTCCATTAGAGAGTAAAATACATTTTTCATATTGCCAAGACACCAACAGAGGCCACCTTCTTTATATTAGTCACCAATACAGCACCAAGTAATTTACACGAAGGCAATGGGGTGTGGGAAGACACTTATGTATATAACTTGATAAACAGCAATAAAACAAGGGGTAAATTCCTTGTACAAATTCCTTTGGGTAAATTCCCGCTCAACATTTGAATTAATATCCAGTTTCCCTAACTGCTGTTATCCATCATCCAAGACAGCTTAAGAATAGTACAAGTAACTCTCCAATGATGATTTATGGATATTCAAATTAATGAGACAACTTTGCTATTACAAAATATTTAATTCATAATAGAAATATTAACTGCAGAAGGATTTATGAGATAGACACAGGAGAGAACTACTAAAATGATACTTTCACAATAGTGAAGTTACCTTTAGAATTATTTAACAACTTTGTCAATGGTATTATAAAAGAAACTTCACCAGAGCAGAAACTTGCCTGTAAAATGCTCCATAGAATCCAACAATGAATGGAGAGTTGCACTCGTGAAGTACCTTCAATTCACGTATTATTTGGTTTCTCACAGCTGGCTTCACTTCTAAATGTATCAACTGAAAGAAACCATTCAGTTACTCGAAGATAGAGCACAAGTCTCTTTATCATGCATAACTAATACAATAACCTTAACTAGAGCACTTGGTGGTACCATGTTTACCTGGAAGACACACTGATGTAGCAGAGGAGCTATTAATTTGCTGTAAACGTACCAGTCTGGCATGTTAAAAGTGGTACAGTAGTACAGTATTATAAGCAACTGATAAAAGTAAATTCTACATTTGTCTACTATTTGTACCATTACACAGAGAAAGCCTTGTGGTTAGACAGGAAGGGTAGAAGTAATTTACATATTTTTAAATAATAAAAATCCCTAAAATTTATGAACATTTTACAGTACTGTACCATCATAATTCCATAATTAATAAAAAGGTTATATTTATGAAAATACATACCACAATTCCAAAGTGATAATCTCATATATAAAATGTAATCAATAACATTGTAAAATAAGATCAAGATACAGTATATTTGATAATCACAGTTTGATGTGCACTTTAAGTCCACATAGTGCAAGCTATCTTGAGGTTATCTTGAGATGATTTCGGGGCTTAGCATTTCCGCGGCCCTATCCACGCCCTGGCCTCCTTTTTGTTACACACCCCGAGGAAGCAACAGGGGCAGGAGGGTGGAAGAAACTTTGCCCATTTTTTTCCGCCTCCACCAGGGATCGAACCCTGAATCTCAGGACTACAAATCCGAAGCCCTGTCCACTCAGCTGTCAGGCCCCTTGGTGCCTTTTACCAAGTACGTGTCTTTACCAACCACACCATCACATGGCTGTTGACTCACCTTCCGTGCCATAATGAGACCAGATGGCTTGTGTCTCTCCTTATTCACCACTCCTCCATTTCCAGCTCCTAGTTCACCAAGTTTTTCAAAGTCATCAGCATTTAATTCTCCAATCTGGAGAAAAAAGGAAAGAAACCATTAAGGAGGGCTGAGTCAACCTTACACTAGAACAATGTTTTCAGATTTATATTGAACTTGATATTTAGCCTTTAAACTTTTTTACTTTCAAATTTCTTCCAATAAAAATTATTTGTTCTTTTTAAGTTAACAAAATATTATTACTGAAAAGGCATTTATTTAATATAATTGGAAAGATCAGACAAAGTTCTATAAATGCTCCCATTACATTTTTTAAATTATGCTTACTTAAAATAAAAAAATCATGAATCTTGACTTTTTTTTTTTTAAGAAAAATATATACAGTATTGTTAAAAACATTTAAAAAAAAAAAAGACGATTATATAGTCTGCTGATTTGCGTATTGTGTGAACATTGTATCATAATCTAATGAAAATTTTAATTTGACAGAAAAAAACAAAAAATAGTGTTTTGATATTAATTTTCCCACCAACAGAGCAACGTCACAAATCCTCAACAATACCCTTTTTAATTATGTAGCTTAGTAATACTTTCCATTTACTATACTTATATTTATTCCCATATTGTTTTGTTTTTAGAGCAATCTAGGCTTTAAAATGGTAATATTATACTATTACTTTTTTTTTTTTTACAAAATATACAAAATGACTTGGGGCCCCTTAAAGTACCGAACTGTATAAGTATTCAGAGTGCACATTTAATATCTTGGCTAAATGTGGTGCTCATGTCAAAGTATATGCCTTACACCATAAACCATCTTTCTCAGGTTAAATTTTCACTACCACCACAATTCCTTAAAGTTTTAGTGTACTACTATGGTGTTATAATAAATTAAAGATTTCTGCAAGACTTGAATAAACCATACCGTCTATTTTACTGATCTCATCAATGACTGGAGCTGACCTTTTGCTTCTGGACGAGGAATATCTCCATGCGTTTGCGTTGGGTGTCATCCATGTCCAGCTCCTGAATACACTTGAGTAGTGATTCAAGTGACATGGCACCAAAACTGCCAGTCGCTCCAGTGCTGGCTTTTCTCTGCGGAGTTCTAAAGGACAGACAAAATAAAGTACTGTACGACACACAAAAGCTTCAGAAGACTCATGATGCTACGCATTACTATCAAATGTACAACAAGTTTCCAAGTGATATTTACAATGAAATAAAATACATAAACTATAAAACAAATCTCAAAATACAGTATTGTAGATGTCAAACATTTTCCATGACCCTATGATCATAGACAAAATAAAACTACAAGATATTCTCAGGGGTGTGTGACAGCGATGGAATCAGAATGAGAGAACACAAGGGAAATCACACATCTGCAAGCTCACGGAGAGAATCCTAAGGGAGGGAATCATTCACCATCTTTCAGTGGACAATCTTGAAAAATCGACACAACATAGGTTTGTTAATAATAGATCCTGCCTTACAAACCTGCTCACATTTTTGGAAACAGCGACTGACTACTTGGACAAAGGACTTCCGGTTGATGTAGTATACAGTACATAGATTTTGCTAAAGCCTGTGATAAGGTACCACATGAAAGACTGGCAAAAAAAATTACAAGCACAGGCCCATCAACAAATAACACACGTACAAGAGAGAAACAAGACGACAAGCGAGAGGGACCTATGATGATTATTTAGAATGAATTAAAAAGAGCAGATGAAGACAGTGTTGATACTGGAGTGACTAATCTGAATAACTTGGAGGGCTTAAGAGGCAAGAATATAAGAAATATGGGCCAGAAAATGTTTCAATCTCTTCTTTGAGAATTTTATATATCAGAACATTAAATACAGTAGTTATCTAATCAATGCTCGATCTCAATGGAGGCAGTTACTACAGATCAAAAAAAAAAAAATTCCTTTTTCATTGTTAGTTAAGAGCAATCATGCAGTACTGTATTGGAAATTAAATACCCCACGGAATGATGTACAATTTAGACACAGACCCAAGGAGGGTACTATGCTTTGGACACAAGCCCATAGGGCAATGTGCTCTTTAGATATAGGCCCATGAAAATGCTGTGCTTTTTTGGATAGACCAAAAGGCCCATAGAGTATTACACTACATGGATAAATTCAGGACAATATAATCCAAATTAAACAAGAAATGCTGTGATAACTTTATCCTGCATTCAATGGTTATCAAATCAACTTGCCACACTTCTAGTTCAGCACATTTCTGGCCAATTTATCACACTTATTCTACAATACTATATTATTGAAGTCAACACAGCATACAGAATATGTACATATCAACACCAAAATGTTAGTACTGTATTTAATAAAGGCAATAAAAGCAATACACAAGTCTCATATGCTCACTAGTATATATTATGTATGACAACTTTTGTTTAGCGTTCATTCTGATTACTGGTATACAGCACCTTGTACACACATTATTATAAAAGCAATGTGCAAAGGGTCAAGCAGAAATTGCAAGAAGTTGGTATATACGGAGCCGACTCGCATATCCATTGCATCCACAATGCTTAGGTTAAGTAAGGCATCATTATCACGATGGAGCATTTAATCACTTTTGAAAACCCATTTGATGTGGTCCACTTCTCCACGATGTGTAAACATATTCATTTATTACATACAAGGTACTCAAGCGCTCAACACCTTCCTGCTGCCCCCACAAGCGCTCAACACCTTCCTGCTGCCCCCACAAGCGCTCAACACCTTCCTGCTGCTCCCACAAGCGCTCAACACCTTCCTGCTGCCCCCACAAGCGCTCAACACCTTCCTGCTGCCCCCACAAGCACTCAACACCTTCCTGCTGCCCCCACAAGCGCTCAACACCTTCCTGCTGCCCCCACAAGCGCTCAACACCTTCCTGCTGCCCCCACAAGCACTCAACACCTTCCTGCTGCCCCCACAAGCGCTCAACACCTTCATGCTGCCCCCACAAACACTCAACACCTTCCTGCTGCCCCCACAAGCACTCAACACCTTCCTGCTGCCCCCACAAGCGCTCAACACCTTCATGCTGCCCCCACAAACACTCAACACCTTCCTGCTGCCCCCACAAGCGCTCAACACCTTCCTGCTGCCCCCACAAGCACTCAACACCTTCCTGCTGCCCCCACAAACACTCAACACCTTCCTGCTGCCCCCACAAGCGCTCAACACCTTCCTGCTGCCCCCACAAGCACTCAACACCTTCCTGCTGCCCCCACAAGCGCTCAACACCTTCCTGCTGCCCCCACAAACACTCAACACCTTCCTGCTGCCCCCACAAGCGCTCAACACCTTCATGCTGCCCCCACAAGCGCTCAACACCTTCCTGCTGCCCCCACAAACACTCAACACCTTCCTGCTGCCCCCACAAGTACTCAACACCTTCCTGCTGCCCCCACAAACACTCAACACCTTCTTGCTGCCCCCACAAGCGCTCAACACCTTCCTGCTGCTCCCACAAGCACTCAACACCTTCCTGCTGCCCCCACAAGTACTCAACACCTTCCTGCTGCCCCCACAAGTACTCAACACCTTCCTGCTGCCCCCACAAGCACTCAACACCTTCTTGCTGCTCCCACAAGCACTCTACACCTTCCTGCTGCCCCCACAAGCACTCAACACACTCGGCACCTCGCAGACAACACACTCGGCACCTCGCAGACAACACACTCACCAGCACATAGAACACTTTTGCTAGAACACTCCAAGACCTCCCCCACCCCCCCAGGCTGACCACACAACTCAACCCCTTCTACACCCAGCTCCCTCCCTCACGCCACACACAACACACTCACACTCAACACACACGCTACCACTCTCAAGCCAAAATATCCAACAGGTTATTGAGGTAGGGTTAAAGGGTGAGTGTAAGGGGGGGGAGGGCAGAGGAGAGGGTGTCAGTAGGGTGACAAGGGCTGCCTGGCCTCACTCTGTGCCGGTATGGTTGTCATGGTCGTTGGTCTGCTCGATGGAACCCGGTGGCAGCTTCAGGTTGAACTTGTTCTTTGACATGATGTTCCAGTGAGAGCCAGACGTCAGTTATTGATTATGACCCACACAACTAACAGACTCGCCTCAACCCCGAGTCCGGAGATTTCGGGAAGTGAGGGTCGATGCACTTTATCTAGATTTATATAGGATTCTTGGTTGTCATTGGCTGGGTGCGGGAGGATAAGCCAATGAGAATGCCGCTTTAGGGCCCGGCGCTGCAGGTTCTCAGCTAAAGGGATGTCTCAAACAAAAGAATTCGAGTCTGAGTGACGTATTTGTGGAAGGATTATAGATTAGTAATTAATGTTGCCAACTATACCATCGAATAGTGAATATTTTCCACTTCAAGTAAAATGTTTTAGCTCAATGAGAAGAGTAGTGATGACCAGCTTCCTGTTTGTCCATTCATCTGAAGAATCTTGCTCTCTTGCGTCACACTATATTTTATTTACTAATTCTCCTTCCTAATGCTTTAAATGTGAACATTTGTCTTTAAAATCACTACTAAAATCAATATTACACGTGGTAAAATATCATAATTTGTAACACAATTACCCTTTATGTACTAAATCGCTGTTGATTGATGAAACTAAGGCAACATATGATAACTGATTCAGTGATGCCTGAGTTCAGTATGTCATGGTTATTTCCTGTTACAAAATATACTGGCCAAATATAATAGGAAAATATGCTGGGACCACATGGAGTGAATGGTGGCCAGGATGCAAATAGTCTTTCATTGACTTATATCTCACAGAAAGCTGGCATGGGTCAGCTGTTCATTCATTGTCGACTTCCTCTTATCATGACCCCAAGTAGACGACAAATGAATTAAGGAACAATACATTATTTTTGTGAATGAAATGGAATTATTGGCCTTTGAGTGAGTAATTTTTAAATTAACAAGTAGCTTGCACTTGCACACTTTGGCAGAGCACAAGAATATCTTCCAATATTCATGAGTATGTGGAGAAGTTGCAAAGCTCAACTATGGTAATTCAAGTATGAATGAAATTCCGGTAATTCAAAGAATGAAAATATTATGTGTGGCTTGGAGGAGCCCGCGGAACACAGCGCCTGGATCTGCCAATTCCATTGATAAATTGCAATTGATCATTTACGATGATGGATCTTCAATTTGCCCGAACGGTCTCGCTTCATGCAGGTCGGCGTTCAATCCCCGATGGTTCAAGTGGTTGGGCACCATTCTTTCCCCCGTCCCATCCCAAATCCTTATCCTGTTCCCTTCTCAGTGCGCATAGTATATACTAGCTCTATCTAGAAATTTAACATTCTGCTTGTAAATCAATATATATATGTATGTATGTATGTACTTTTACCTAAATAAAAAAAAATATTTATATTTATATTTATAAAAATAAATAAAAATAATTTAATAATTAATTTAATTTAATTTAATGTAATTTAATTAATTTAATTTTTAATGTAATTTAATTTAATTTAATGTAATTTAATTTAATTTAATTTAATTTAATTTAGTTTTTTAATTTAATTTTAATTTAGTATCTATATCTCTGTATCTATAAAAGACAATATCTGTCTTTGTCTGTCTGTCCAAGGACGGAGGCCAGCCTAATAGGGATAGCCTCACCCAATTTTTCAATGATACATGTGTGGTATGGGACTGTCATAGGCCAGTAGGGGGTCGGCCCCATTGCCCCTTTTTAAGATGGATCAGCTCTTTTTCCAAACCCCAGCTACTCCTATGAAGTCTTAAATTTCTGTTTCTTTTTCCCGACACTTTTTCAACAGGTTTTTTAGTTCTTCATAATATCTCAACTTCATAATATATATAACATAACCACAACGTCTTTTAACTATATTGTTATAACGTTGCATCAACGTAACAGTGGTAAAAATAATGTTATGGTTATTTTGTTGGAATTGCATATACTGAGAGAGAGAGAGAGAGAGAGAGAGAGAGAGAGAGAGAGAGAGAGAGAGAGAGAGAGAGAGAGAGAGAGAGAGAGAGAGAGAGAGAGAGAGAGAGAGAGAGAGAGATAGGGGGATAGAGAGAGGGAAAGTGAGGGAAGAAAGGGAATGATGAGAGAGTAAGGAAGATTATATGCAACATCTGTTGCATTTGCAACAGATGTGTGATGTACATCTGATCATATGTAAACTGGCAGCAGAACTAGTCACATACATTACATCACTATGAAACTGAATGCAAAAAAAAGTAAAGACTTTAAATATGGTTTTGTAACAACAAAAAATGTGTATTTAGTTAAAAATTATTTACTTCCAGAAATCTTGGCCAAAAATCGGCCGCTTGTTTACCATAAGGAGTGCTTACCAGTGTTGCCAGATTGGGCTACAAGTAGCGAATTGGGCTACTTTTGAGAGCCCGGCGCTCCCAAATTTATAATTTCGCTACTTGCTACTTTTTGGGCTAACTTAAAAGCAAGATGTGCTAATTTGGGCTATTAATGTTAAGAATGTACGATTGCGAGTTACATGAAAGTAACTAAGCTATAAATATTTGTAATTAATAATAATTGTATATATTATTTAATACTAAATAATATTATTTAATAAATTAGTCCCAATTCAATGCAGAGTTTTCTTCCAAGCACAGAAACGTGTAAATATAAATACAAGATAATAGATAGATCGATAAATAAATAGACAACCTTCAAATATTGCACCAAGTAATGGCGAGAGGAAAAAACTAGACAGTATACATTACATTTGAAATTAATAATGGATGAATGGTAATAAATTGGTGTATGTATACCAGACAAAGTCCATTTAATGGCAGAATTTAGCCATTTTGTGTAAAAACTTTTATATCTCCTATTATTAATTATAACAGTAATCGAAAAAAGTCATAGTTTGTATATACAAGAGATGAAACAGAGAGCCATGAGCTAGAGCGATGTGCTGAGTCCATAAGGAGGCCGAGCTTCCAGAAATACCTTCCTGTGATTGGCTGTTGCGGGGAATACCAACACTCTTTTATGAGTAAAATTTAAACTAAGAAATAGGTCCTTGTGCACAACAACAAGGTTGTTGTGAAAAAGAACAACAATTTCTGTTTTGCACCTGACAGAAATCTCCATCTAACTGAATAATTTACTCGAATAAGAGGGCAGAGCAGAGTATCATTATTTGTGTCAAGGCAACCCCCAATAATAACGTCACAAGTTAGGTTGCCAGCCCATTTTTTATATATCTGTAATATCCTGCAATATTTAATTATCACTTTAGTACTACTTTAAATAATTAACACTTCACTTTTTTGGGTAAATTAAAGTTAAAGCAGAATTCCATAAGCAGGACTGGTGGGCTGAACTAAGATGATTTACTAAGTGGATGGCACCAGCTATAGCTGATCCCTTCCTGTGATTAGCTGTTGTGTGAATGTCAACAAAGAGTTTCTACCAATGATATGCCATTTATTATGCACCCCATACCATCTGTGGGCGGAACTTGGAACCTCCTACCCGAGCACAACAACCTGCCTTATGGGTTGCTGTTTGGCTATTTATAGTGCGTTGGAAAAAAAAGAGATGGCGCTAGTTGTATTTTATGGGGTAATTTGTTATAAGTGTAATTTGATGTCAACAGATGGCGTAAGCTATATCTTATGGCCACTGTTGACCAGCCAGTTGATAGTGCGCCCAGGTAAAACAGAAACAAGCATCACTTAGTGGGCCAGCCAGTGGCTTAGGACCCGCGCAGGATTATCCCTGCTAAAAAGAAAAAAAAAAATTGATAGTGTTCTTATCTGCCGACAGATGGCATCAGCTGTATTATTATTATTTTAATAATATTATTACATTAATAATAATGTATTATTATTACATTAAACACTGATCTATACGTCTGGTAGCTTATATTAAGGTTTTATACCATGCTGGTATTAAGTAACTAGAATTCTGCAATTACTTTTTTTTATCTACTGTTGAGGATATTTGTAAGACAAATGTAAGGTTTTGAGGCTAAGTAACGAAGACAGTTACAAGATGCGAGCCAGATGGTGTTGAGATTGCAGAAGGGATTATGATGAGAACTTAAGCCAAAAAATCAATGCATAAATGTTCGCAAATATGAGACTGGGATTTATTTCTCGAAAAGTTAGCAATAAAATACGCTTTCTAGTTCTTTATTTTTAAAATTAAGACCAGGGATTCTGTCTAACGAAGCTGCAAGCTTAAAACACCGTTATCCTATAATGTTCATCTGTAGCTTGACCCTAAATACTCGTTTATTAAACGAATTTATTGTTAGAGTTCATTAGGAATCAACTTTGTTGAAGGCCGAGTTTCCAACAAATACCTTCCTGTGATTGGCTGTTGCGGGGAATGCCAACGCTTATATGAATAAAATGCAAAATAAGAAATACGTCCTTTTGCTCAATAACCTTGTTATTGTACAAAAGAACAACAATTTCTGTTTTATACAAGACAGACATATCCATTTAACTGAATAATGTAGACCAATATGAGGGCGGAGGCATTGTATTGCCGATATTATTTGTGTGAGGCAACTCCCACTGATGACGTCACAAGTCAGGTAGCCAGCCCATGTTTCTGTAACACTCGTTACATCCTACAGTATTTAATTATCACTATATTAATATTTTTAAATACTTAACATTTTACTTTTTAGGTAGATTGAAATTGAAGCAGAATGTCATAAGCAAGGATGGTGTGCTGATTAAATATGATTTATTAAGTGGATGGAGCCTTTAGCTGATCCCTTTCTGTGATTGGCTGTTGTGTGAATGTCAACAAAGAGTTTCTACCAATGATATGCCATTTATTATGCACCCCATACTATCTGTGGGCGGAGCTTGGAACCTCCTACCCGAGCACAACAACCTGCCTTATGGGTTGCTGTTTGGCTATTTATAGTGCGTTGGAAAAAAAAGAGATGGCGCTAGTTGTATTTTGTGGGGTAATTTGTTATAAGTGTAATTTGATGTCAACAGATGGCGTAAGCTGTACCTTATGGCCACTATTGACCAGCCAGTTGATAGTGTTCTCTTCTGCCGACAGATGGCATCAGCTGTATTATTATTACTTCCGAATTCCCTTTAAACACTGATCTACAAATCCTTTGGCTTATGATAAGGTTTTATACCATTTATGATAAGTATTAGATAACTG